TTAATCAATGAAAGATGTGAATGTTCTGAAACATTTCATACATTTACAATAAAGCTATTAATATATAAAATCATGCGTCTCTTGGTTTGTGAAGCCCTTGGGAAATTTTGGTTGGTTCCAGCAAGCACCATCCACTGGATTTCAGCCCGTTTCACACATTCCAGGTTTTCTCTCACACATACAGTCCAAGAAAGATGAGTAATTATAAGCGAATACCAGTGAGGGGCATTCCAGCTCTCATATTTCACCAGAGAAAACCTCACGCTATTTCCCTCAGGCTCACCTTTAGCCACATTTTATACTCAGACTTCTGAGGCATTCAGACAAACATTCTGCTTTTGAGAGAGAACAATAGATAACTCGCTCAAAGCTGACTTACCCAACACTGACTAACCAATCCGGCCTCCGAATACTACTGTCCCTGACAAAGCCAACTCAATATTTCTTAGTGTAGTCACATGCTTTGAAACATTGTATTGATGTCACACTCTGTGTTTCCAAATATAGAACAAGGCTACATCTGTATTAGATGTGATTTTTAGCTTTTAACTAATTCCTCTTTGTGACAGTAATGAAAGGCATCTTAGACTCACACTGCTCATGAGGAAGTTGTTTGTGGGTGATCTTACTGTAAGTCAGTTGTTTAGTACAAGGTATTCAAATGTGTAAAAACCGGGCAGCTCACACATACCCAACATGCAATCCTGCTAAATTTGGTATGTTTTTAGGTCCAAATATCTGAACATGTCATGAAATCTCACTGAAACTTTGGAATTCAAAACTTTATTAAAATCTGGAGATAAAGTTTTATAAAGATTTTAAAATGTCTGTTTTTATTTAAGAAAATATTTGAGATTCTGCACAAACATTTTGCTGAAAATATAATTTGATATAACTTGTCACATGCTTAAACATATAACATATGCTGATAATATAACTTGTAATGAAGCAAAAAAGATCAAATAATAAAATGTCAAATGGAAGAATTTTCCCTTGTGTTCTCAGACTTTTAAACCGCACTGTGCATTAAAACCTCTCAAAACTGACTTGTAATAGAAGGTGTATAAATAAACCAATTAATGTTTTAATTACTAATAAATCTTTAAATACATTTTCTTAAAGGGGAAGGTGTATTTTATGGTTTTAATTATACTTAGCTGAAATTAAGAAGTCAGTGGGAGGTCCATATCATTGGGGTACAATGGGACAAAAAATCTATGGTAAGTAAGCTAAAGCATGCTAGGATGCTTCACTATTTATGGTATTTCACAGACAAAAGTTTGATTGATGAAGGAATCTCAGGAATTCAGGTCTCAGTTGTAATGAGTGAACAATGCTTGTTATTGAAAATAAGACGGCCACGTCTTACATATTTACTACACTAGTAATGCCTCTGATTATGCATTTATGCATAAATTAAAAACATGTTCCCAAACAGACAATTTCCCCATAAAACTTGAAAACTGTAACTTGCCAAGTTACAAACTACTCAACAAAAAGATACTAACTAAAGATAGCTAAGGTTTATAAGTGGAACATATCTGTCAAATTTGAGATTTTTAAGATTATTTACCATTAAAAACAGTATTTTTCTGGCAAAAGAAATAAACTATATCAGGATGACAGCATCAATGTACACTACAGACAACTAACAAAGCAAACAAACAAAAGTGCATCATGAACTAATTAACACAGTTAATTTCATTTCCAACAATGAAAACTCAAGGAAATTGAATTCCTGTAAAATTTCATTCAAAACTACCCTAAATCACTGGACTGCCATACCTACATTAAAAAAGTGAAGAAAAAAAAAGCAAGTCAGACAATGGAAAGTATGATTGGTCAGTAAGGCATAAGGGGGAATTGTACGTTAAATGACAATTCAAATGAATAATTGAATAATTTTTTTGATCCAGGTTGAATACCTTTTAAAGCACATCAGTATGGTGACAAAGAAGTGCAAAACAAATCACAATTCTGAAAACAAAATAACAAATTACAAACGCAAATGCAAGTCTAAAAAACAAAATAACAATTCAGAAAACACAACAACAATTCAGAAAACATTATGACAAGTCAGAAAACACAATGACAAATTCGAAAACAAAATAACAAGTCAGAAAACACAACGACAAATCAGACAAACCGGAAGAGGTAGGTATAGTTTGAGACAGCGCCATTGGTTTGGGATTACTCACCGCTGACTGGACGAGACATCTGTCAATCAAGTATACAGGAAGAACCAGCCGAAGAACAGCAGAGTCGTGGTAGAAAGTTCGAAGATGGTATTAAAGTAGCTCAGTTTAAATGTATTGTATGAATTGCCCTTACTATGGAATAAAAAATACGGGGTGTCTATTTACATTTAGTTAAAAGTGACTATAAGTCATTAGCTCCAGTGGCGCAGCTGGATAAGTGCGTGTCATTGGCTTTTTGACGCGATCGACCTGGATTCGATCCCGTTTTTTGCCGAACTTTTTTTTCCTCCCACACTGTGGCACTGGATCTTCATAACCAACACAAGAACAAACTTGGCTCCAGGTGAGTGTATGTAAACTGAGAAAATCTTAGTTGGAATGAAAAGGTTTAGCATTTTATGGCTGTATGGGAACCAGGAAACGTGCAATACACTGCAATTCATCTTGTTTATAAGCGCAGTGGAGGCCTTTTCCTCCTCACAGAGAGAAATGCTGCCAACATTCTTTCGACTTTTGAGAAGCACTTGACATTTTTTACCCTTGGGTTTCTTCCTCAACATGAACAAAATGGAGGACTCTGGAGCGTTTGAAGGTCAAATGACACATTCCTGAAGCTTGAAATGTGGAACGCCAGCAAATATGAAGTTTGAGCGAGGGTGCAGTAATCCGCCTTACAAATCAGAATTAAAGCGGTTTGTTGAAAAACAACATTAGATTAGATGTTATATGAATGTTGGGTCAGCACAATCAGCCAAGAGCCAAACAATTCTGAAAAGCAGATTAATTTTCAAACGAATCCAGCATGAATTAGGTCAGCTTGCTGTCCTGGCACATGCTGGTCGGATGTGCTGTGCTGTCAGAGAGTAGATTGATTACTTCAGCCGTACACATTTCCAGCATTGATTGATGACTGGATGGAATAACCTTCAATTTGGATTCTGAATGATAGATCTGAAACATGCTGCAAGGGGAATAAATTAAAGCAATCTATATTTGGAAAACATTCATACTTTTATTCAGCTGTATTAAACTGATCAGAAGGGATAGTAAAACATTTACTATGTCACAAAAATTCTATTTACTTAGCAAATTATTAAGCACCACAACTGTTTTCAACACTGATGGTAATAAGAAATGTTTCTTGATCACGAAATTATCACATTAGAATTATTTCTGAAGGACCATGTGACACTGACGACTAGAGTAATGATGCAGAAAATTCAGGAATAAATTACATTTAAAAATAGAAAACAGATAATTGGGATATTTTTTTCCAGTCATCTCAATGGTAAAAAGTGTCCCCAATTCACCTGAATGTATATACTACCTACTTTTACCAAGTAATATTTCAACAATTTGTTTTTGTTCTATAAATCCTTTATGTGTTTACAAGAAGGTCTGTTGACTGATACGATAGCTCCATAACTGCTCAAAGACAGCTGTGCTTGTAATAAAAAACCTTATGTTTTAGTATCCACCAGCATCCTATGGTTTCAACAGAAAAATAGCTCCAGACTGAAGGTTTCAGATGTCAGCCTGGGTTAGTAAGGCTCCATGACGTTGTGGCATCAAGAACATGTTTCTAATAACATGAGGCTCACGTCGGTAAGACAAAATAAGGCTCAGGGCTGGAGAGAAATGGATACATTTCACTTTTAGGCATGACATGAATGAAATGGTTTTTCGAGTCCCCCACAGTGAAGTGTTGTGTTTCTGACTTCTCCCTCTCCTGCCCAGGGTCCTGTGTTATTATTTGGTAATAGTGAGCACATGGCAAAGTGTGCGTCAGGGCCAAAAAGCGTGCTCTACACTCGATTACCATGATTGCTGTGGAGCATTAATGCTGGATTTTCCAGTTTTTGCACAAGGCTTTCTTTCAGTTTCATGGAACGGCTGAATTGCTGGTCAAGAGGCCAAGGGTTGAGAGAGGCACGCTGGGATATTTCTGGTTTAGTGGAAGAATTAAACCGTAAGAGAGGCTGTGAAAATCCCAAAAGTCCTAAAAAATAAATCCTTGTTTTTCAGGGGATTTTGAAGTTCATTCTGCTGTAGTAAATAACATGAATTAAGAAGAAATTCATGTGACAAATAATGATTGCTAAAAATTCAGCTTTGCCATCACAGGAATAAATTACATTTCAAAATATAGTAAAACAAAAAACATTTTAAAAAATCTTACCAACCCCAAATTTTTGAACAGTAGTGTATGATGCACTGTATATCAGTTTGGGACATCAATAGTCAAATAGATCATATCAATATATTATAAACAAACTGCAAATACTTCTGTAAATATATAAATATATAATTATTATGAATGAAATGTGTGAAACGTGTGCAATTTAAATTGTAGAGTATTATTATTGATTACAAATTGTTCAACTAGTCATCATTCATTCAAAATTAAATTCAAAGCCATATTGATTTTTACATTTTATATCGTTAAATATGGTTCCATCAAAGCAGCATTAGGTTAGAATTAAACTGTAAAAATACTGCCACCTAGTGTAACATTGCAATGCAAAGTCAATGAGATGGTGGACTAATGAAATAAAAATAAATACTCAAGCCTATAAATTTTTTTTGAAATATATATGCACATAGAAGAAGCAACAAGCAAAAACATTATGAGTTCACTGACAGATCTATACTAGTTACTGTTACATATTAAAAAGTGATTTCTGACATCAATTATTAAACAATTTGTTTTACTTCCGCAATATGCCAAAAATCACATTAACAAATTCATAGTATAATTATGGTAAAGATCTAAAAAAGAAATGCCACAAAAAAACAATCCAACTACATTTTGATCCTCCTCGATTTCCGCACTTTTGGTATCTCATTCAGATACATGTCCTTGTAAGAGGACAGGAGATCACTTATTCTATAACCCTGCAAGACACAAACAGTCAGAGAGGATATTAACATATGCACATGTGTGACACTTGCTATAGTTGTGTGTGTGTGTGCTGTATTTACCATAGAAGTCTCACAGAGCAGAGTGTTGCCCTGCACCAGGCTGCCGATGGTCAAGTGAAAATAGGTGTTTCCGCTAGACCAGGAAGTGATCTTACTGAACAGATGCATCGCAAGCACCTCCTGCAGGCGAGCCAGCCAAAACACTTGTTAACTTCACAAACTACACAATGCTGAGGTGAGCTGTACATTAGAGCTGCATACAGACAGATTTGTACCTTTGTCTTAGGGTTGATGATACTAACTCCTTGCTTGCTGACTGATAGCGTAATAACACTGGGGTAACTCTTCTCTGAGGTTTGCTGAGAGAAAAAGGACAGTGAGTGTCAAGAAAACAACCCCCTTCTTAGCAATTAGGGTTATTTTTAGAGTTGCCCTGGTTACCTTTACTTCGAAGAAAACACATCCGAAGGTAGGCCACTGTGAGATCGTCTTCAGGAACTGGAGTTTGGCTTCATCTACAGTTATGCCTGCCTGCTTGTTGTACGCGTTGATAATGTGCTGCAAACCAAAGACCAAAACGATTCTGTCATTCATCGTAATGTTAGGGCCAGGGGTTACTAAAATATACTAATACTAAATAATGCGTCATACGTTCTCAAAAAAGTCTCTTATATGTTCACCAAGGCTGCATTTAACATTAAAACAATAATATAGTGAAAAATGATTACACTTTCAAATAATGGTTTTATTTTAATATATTTTCAAATGTGAATTTTCAGCAGCCAGTACTCCAGTCTTCAGTGTCACATGATCCTTCAGAAATCATTCTAAGAAGTTGATTTGCTGCTCATTTCTTAAAGGGATAGTTCACCCAAAACTGAAAATTCTGACATTAATTACTCACCCTCATGTCATTCCAAACCTGTAAGACCTTTGTTCATCTTCGGAACACAAATTAAGATATTTTTGATGAAATCCGAGCGCTTTCTGACCCTCCATAGACAGCAAGGGTACTACCACGATCAAGATCCAGAAAGGTACCAAGAACATCGGTAAAATAGTCCGTGTGACATCACTGGTTCAACCATAATTTTATTAAGCTATAAGAATACTTTTTGTGTGCAAAAAAACTAAAATATATAATAAATAATAATATAATAAATATCTTAATTTGTGTTCCGAAGATGAACGAAGGTCTTACGGGTTTGGAATGACACAAGGGTGAAGTAATCAGTGACAGAATTGTAATTTTGGGGTGAACTTTCCCTTTAATATGATCACTGGTGAAAACAGTTGTGATGATTAAGAGTTTTGTGGAGCCCGTGATACATTTTTTTCAGAATTCTTTTAGGAATATAAAGTTTTAAAAAATAACGATTCAATTAAGAATGAAAAACAAAAGGACACCAAACTTTTGAACAGTAGTGTGTCTATGTAGGCACCTTACTAAGGTTTGGAACAAAGTCAAAACATACAGGACTATAATAGTAAATAAGAGGCTTGAGGATCACCTTTTTCAAGTCATCAGCAGTCATGATCCTCTGCTGATCAGCTGGTACCAGATCTTTCAGCATTCTAGGGATCATGACAAACTGTGATTTATCCGTATCAACCTGAATACGGAACAGCAGTCCTGCCAGACTGATCATGTCCTCTTTAGATACACTATGGTAACCCCGCAAATATTTCGGCAATTCCTGGGAAAATATAAAGAAGACAGTTAGGCAAAGTTGCACAGCAGGAAAGGGTCATAAAACCCAGAAATGAGTTGCCATTTTTACACTTTTGGTTTTATTGCATGGTTTTATTCCTGCTTTATCAAAAGTTTTTGAAATGGGTTTACGGTTAAATGGGTAATACCCCCATCCTGATGTTTTAACTCTTTACTTATGAAAAAGGTGGTGGCTAACAAGTTGATAAATGGGATCTTGGCTAAATTGGAGGTTGGAGACCCTTTAATGTCATCACACCACATAGGTAAACTCTGAGTTTGATTTTACTTGTAGATTTAAAAAAGAAAGTTGAAACAGGTGTCGGAAGCTTAGTGGTGGTGATACTGAAGTTGTGTGACCATGTTGTAGTTTGTTGACAGCCTAACTTTTACTTTTTACATCTGCAATTGTATTTATTCTTCATTTGATTATCTTGAATAAAACGTGTATGAATCATAACTTTGGTTGGTCCCAGAGCTTATTTTCTGCAATAATTCAAAAGCCATTGGAAAAATCCTAGTAGATTTTTGTAGAGGGAACCAGGGTGATGCACACTGTAAGGCAGGTTAAAATGATGCTGTTCTAGAATTCAGCTGACAGTATTTGGCTTGACCAGATAAGGAATGATGATCAGATAGACAACATACCTGGGGAAAGTGGAAGGTTAGGTCAGCAGTTAGGTCTTTTCCTGAGATCACATTAAACCAGAGCTTCCTCATGAAGAGCACCAGGTAAGGGACAATAGCTGGAGCAGCTGTATTCAGGATCAATAATATTTATAGTGAGTGAGAGTCTGATTATAATGCACCTACTGAATAAAAAGTTGGGTTAATTACAGTAGCTAGTATGTTATACAGCTCACCCTCCTTGACTTTTTTTCCTTTCTTGACGACATCTGTGAGTTGCCTGAGGTTGTCAAAAAAGTACTCTTTAGAATCCATACTTACTACCTGAAAGGATCAGACCAATGAAGATTAGCATGGACCTAAAACAACACCATCAGGAAAAACATAATGACTGAAAGGAAACATGTCTGAAACCTTCGTGGATGTTTTAACAAACAGACTGTATCCATCTGATGAGGAGAGCCGGAGCTCTTTGGCAATGTTGCGGCATAAGTCTTTTATCCTCGTGGTGGTAGTCACCTCAAATATCTAAAATTAAAAACAGGGAGTTTTTTTTTTTTTTACATGGAAAAAGTAAAATGAGTAAAATGGTTAAAACAATTTGAAATGTCACTTCTTACTTCAGATGTATCGTTGGGAAAATGAACTTTATGGAAGATCTGAGTGCTGTTATTCTGAATGGCGTCCACTTCCACCTGGTGAGGAGGCAACTTCCTTTCCTCGATACTGTATAAGACAATAAACATTGCTTTTTGGATTGATTTTAGCCCTCATGTTCTGTTCACGTTGGCATCTAATGTCTAATTCACTCTACACTAATAGACAAACACCAACAGACACATTTGTTGAGTTTTGTTGGACCAGTGTGTTACCGCTGTGGATGCAGTAAAATTGGCTGTAGGAGTGAGAGTGTGTGTTTGTAGTCCGTTTGTTCATTGGTTCCCATTGATTAGTCTCCCCAGTTGTGTCATGTTATCTGGTTAAGCTAGTTAGCAGCCTGTATACAGTATATAGCTCTAATGTTTCTCTTGTTCCTTGTCAGTTGTTGAATGTAATGTTTTTGTTTTTGCTCATATTACCTGTTCCTTGTATTCCCTGACTTTTGTTGTAACATGGATGAAAACTAGGGATAGTCGTCACAATGGCACACACTGTATAAAGGTCCTAGAAACTGTTTTATGAAATGTTTGTCTACTGAAGGTTTTTTTTTTTTCAGAAAGATGTTTTCATCAGCTGAACAATGTTGTTATACAACAGTATAATCCGTTGAACGAACTGTACTTCTATCCCTCACAGCCTCATTTTCATTCCTGTCAAAAATTAAATATGGTGCCACCCTAGGTCAATACAGGCACGACTTTCATTGCACGTTCATACACAAGTATTCAAGCCACTATTGTAAGCTGCTGTTTGAACAGTAACAGTAAGAAATAAGGTCTTTATGATATCAAAATGTTAGATACCATATAAATGTCATAATTCTTGTCACCAGTGTCAATATCACAAAAAACTAATACTAGCCTAAATTAAAAAAGCTCAAGCTCACTTAAGACAAGTAAACAGTCAGTGAATAAATAAGAACAAACCCACCGCATATTCCTCACTGTGTAAATGAAATATATATTTCTTCTTTTACAAAAGTGATTTAGTCAAGAGCAGTGAGAGATTTTCTCTCTTTTGTTGTTTGATTAACATGAATGACAGACAGCAGGAATATAAGACTGCTGTCATTTTAAGAGCTGCCCGGATCTAATATACTGTTATACGTGCAATCTTTCTCAGCTGTTTGCTTTCACTTAAGACCTAAATTACTGTGCTTACGAGGATACTTGTAAAGATGGGCATTTTGACACATACAAGTGTGTATATTTAACCGTTCAAGGTCTATAAAGTGGCAAAAATAACTCAGTTGTTTCAATACTCCCACGCTCTATGAGCACCGTCTTCACATGCGCCTCTCTGACACCGCTCAGAAACAGTCTCTCAGACAGCGCCGCATATAGCGCATATATGAATACTCTTTCACTGCAGATTGCATTTCAATGGCTCAAAATCAATCGCTTTTAAACCACAATGCTTAAAATCACATGCAAATGAATAATTTTCGTGACCACAGAAAAGGCACATGAGTGCAAAATCTCTACTGGTTGACAATTTCTACCGGTCTTCTGGTATATCGCCCACCCCTAGGCACATTTCACCTGTTAGTAAATGCAGTTGTGAATGTAGCCATACTATAATCTAATGGCTGTCTGCATTGGTCGGTGTGTGTAGTTGCAGCATGAATTAGCCTTAAGAGACAAACTGTTTGAGTATGTAACGCTCTACCTGAGCATAGCTTGCATCCTCTGCAGGCAGGTGGAGGCCAGAGGCTCTCTGGGTCTGGACTCCAGAAAACGTTGAGCATATCTCAGTAGCAACTGACTTGGTGGAAAGAGACCACAACACAGCCACAAAAGCTGCCAACCTCGCTCCATACTCAACCTGAGAGATAAACAGAGAGAAACAAACAAGACTGCAATTTAAAAAAAAAATCAGATAAAACAAACCAAGCAACATTAGATCATATTTGGGTACCAAAACTAAATGAGTTAAAACTAGCTGACAAACCCATGGCTGTTATTAGTCATCTGCTTCATTATTTGGCAGTAGATCTCATCTCTTAGTTCCACGTGTGCTGTTGCTGGCCCAAAGATCTGGTTTGTTAAATCAATGGGTGTCCGCACATGCTTGACTGGATAATCTCCCATATATTTAAGGATAGGTAGAGACAATGTTAAAGAAAACGGTAAGCATCATTCATTAAAATTCACTCGGGTCACATGTTTTGGGAAGTCGTGGCCTAATGGTTAGAGGGTCAAACTCATAACCCAAAGGTTACGGGTTCGAGTCTCGTACCGGCAGGGATTGTAGGTGGGGGGAGGGAATGTACAGCGCTCTCTCCCACCTTCAATACCACGACTGAGGTGCCCTTGAGCAAGGCACCGAACCCCCAACTGCTCCCCGGGCGCCGCAGCAAAAAATGGCTGCCCACTGCTCCGTGTGTGTGTTCAATGCTGTGTGTGTGCACTTTGGATGGGATAAATACAGAGCACTAATTCCGAACCCCCAACTGCTCCCCGGGCGCCGCAGCAAAAAATGGCTGCCCACTGCTCCGTGTGTGTGTTCAATGCTGTGTGTGTGCACTTTGGATGGGATAAATGCAGAGCACTAATTCTGAGTATGGGTCACCATACTTGGCCACATGTCACTTCACTTCACTACTGAAGTCTTTATCACTTATACTGTAATCCACAAAATACAACTTATTTCAAAAGAGCTATATTAGATGATACAAATGATTCAGTTTTCATTTTCCTCCTCATTTGATCAATGAACAGGAAGGATATCTGTGAAGCAGTCAGAAGCGAGGTGGCAGAGCTCAGAGTTGCCCTGCAGGCTCCTGAGCAGCGGCTGTTTTAGAGGCTCTTTGCTGTTGGCCCACAGTTTCTCTTTGGCCCCTCCTTTGCCACGGCCACCTTCTTTTGACTCCCTGTGACCCATTGAAAGAGGTACAAGATGAGCATTTCAGAAGCTCTGGCATGTTATCAAAACTAGTAACTTTCAAGTAACTTTTTTGGAGGGAGCAGCTTTCATTTATATCAGGTGAGATGAGTGCAAACTGTGCATGTGTTACCTGAAATAATCAAAAGAGAACTCCTTGAGCGTCACAACTGCAACTTTCTCTGTGCTGAGCTCCTCCTTCTGTGGCAACACCGGCATCACTGACTTTCTTCGCGCTGGGGTCAAATTCAGCAAATTCTAGAGGATAGAAATCACTCTTTACATTTCTATTCTTGTCAAACTTAATTGACTTACAAAACAAAGCTTATTTTGCGACCCTAAAAAAGAACCTTGTTGGGGGTTTTGAAAACCATTTTCTAATAAACGCGCATTAAAAATCTTTAAAGGAACTTTCTTTAAATGTTTAGAGGCAGTTTAAAATCTTTAACTCCCTTTAAATATTTATTTCCAAGACAAACCCTTAAAACACTGATAAAAACAATTAACATAATAATGGCCAGTGCTGAGAAGTAATTTCCTCCACAAATTAGCGTGAAATAAAAGAATCATGTGTACCAGTGTTTCTTCTGTAGGCCTGGTCAACATCGGCAAAATCCGAATGGCATCTAAGGAAACTGCTCCGATTTGATTTGTCCTCTCATTCCTTGCTTTGATCCAGCCTTCAGAAGAATACTCCCCATCCTTTATGATAAACAGTACATCACCCCTTCTGTAGCTCAGCAATGTGGGATCCCCTGAAGGGAAGAAAAAAAAAACTGAAAGATGAATATCTAAGCAATTTCAACCAGTTCAAGAACCAATTTAAATGTTAGAAGATGCCATCATCCCAAATTAATGTAAGAGTGATTCTTAAATTTTAGTTCTTTACATTTTACTTACATTTTATTTTCAGGAGAGATTATACTATTGTATTTTTTTACCTAAGAATTTCTATATGTGGACTTAAACTTCCCCTCTGTAACTGTAATAAATGTAAAAAAAAGCAACACTGAAAGAAAATTGGTGTAGAAACAATTTTCACTCAGAAATTGCTAGCAAATTTCATAAATAATTACAAAGAAATGGCAAATAACGTCGAATTAAATGTGACATTTTGAAATACAAAGACTGAAAACATACTCCAATAATCTGTTTTATTTACAACTTTGAAAATTTGACACTTCTGACTGTTAAATTCTTTGAAATTTTTTCACCAAAAAGTGAAACATGTTATTACTATCATACATCATCATCACACATTATTTGTCAAAATTTGAAATAGTCCTTAAGTTGAATAATCACCCTGAAATGTGAATACTACAAGGAAAACTGTAAAAGAAGCACCTTGTCTGCTAAGGTCCTGTATTGCCACAGCATACACTGATCTCTTCTTAAGCCCTGAGATGAACATGCTGACCAACTCCACTAATTCTCTTCCCTTCACAGCCTTCAGCTCATACATCCCCTTTGGAGTCATCAAGCACACAATCCCACCAGACTTTTCCTCACTGTCGGAGAAAAGTTAGGAAGGGAAGGAACGACGGAAATGAAAAAAAGGAAAGTCAGCTGGTTCATCTAACAAATTAGACTGAATCTAGTCTTTGAAGCGTAAGTACTTTATCAATGCTCTGGTGTAATTTAGGTGCTTCTCCATGGAGGTTTATCATAAAAAGCAATATTTTACCTCATCTCAATACTTGACACCTCAGGATAAGAGAGCTGTAGAAATGCGGCTTCTGTCACATCCTGAAAGAAGACTCCCTTCCAGTTCACAACAACTACAAACTGGTCTTGAGGCACTGAGGGACCTGAACACAAATTTTTCACAGTAACTGATAAAAAACTACAACAACTTCACAAATTCAATGCATTAAAGGGACAGTTCACCTAAAAATGATAATTCTGTGATCATTTACTTAGACTGACTTTAGAAACACATAACTCTTTCTTTTGTAGGACAAAAAACAAGTCGTCCAAGACGAATGTCCAAGCTGCTCTTTTCAGTACAATGAAAATGAATAGTGACCCTGACCGTCAAGCAAGATTTTTAGTGAATAACAACTACATTTTTAGTCTGTTCCTCATACAAAACTATCATAGGGCTTCAGAAGACTTGGAGTCATATGGTGTACATTTATGATGTTTTTATTGTGCCTTTTTTTTATCTTTACAGCTTTGTATGGAAAAGAGCAACATAAACTTTCTTCAAAAGCTCTCATTTTGTGTTCCACAAAAGAAAAAATGTCATACAGGGTTGGAACGACATGAGTACAGTATATGTAATGACAAAATAACTACTACTTTCTTTCTTTCTTTTTTTACCTGAAACAATTTGAGCCTCATAGAACTTGGAGAAATAAATTGGCCACTTCTCCCGTGCATATTCAACAGTTTCCGCTTTCACTTCATAGGCAGGTTTAGTAGAGTTTATGTAAGGACCCTAAGAAATTACGAAGGATTATGGCTTGCCAAGCACTACCCAAATCAAATTTTGTGATATAACGGCATATACCTGTATTTACAGCATACCTGTGTGTGTGCAGAATGAATCATCTGCATTAGCTTGACCACAGACTTGCTCTCAATTAAAGTCATGTTCATGCACTCACGAACAATCTTCTCTGCGGTTTCCATACTGCTTTCAGAGCCATGCTGTACATAGTAATGTTTGGCCGCGAGCTGCACATAATCATCCTCCTAGATCAAGATTATGGGTCAACAACAGAAGATAAGTTACAAATCTCATTCCTATTAAAATATATATGAACAGTTCAAATAAAGAGCCTAGATTTACCTTATCAGACTGATAATCACCACTTTTGAGTCCGTGGATGATCTGCCTATAGATGAGCTCTGTGCTGACTTGGTCAGATGAACAGTCGTGCCATGGAGTGAAGATCTCTTTGCGGAAGTAGAAACGCCAAGGAGCATGTTGTTCCTCTCTCCCCTGCCTCTTTTCATCCTGCTCACAAATAGACACGGTGTCCAAGACGTGCTGACTGCCACTGCCAAGAGACCAAATCTGCAGCAAGAGATGCATAAATGAAGACTCTATTACTATTGCTCATTAGTTATATGTGAGGTGCATCTTGATATATAGCCATTCAGATGATACAAACCTTCTCATACATTGCAACATACAGGGAGAAGCCGTAAGTGTCCTGCAGGTTTATTTTCTGGATAATCGAATTGCACACCTCTGCAGAAGTGCTGGCTGAATCCACAGTGAAAGTGATGCTTTTGCCGTCCATCAGACTCACAACTACTGTAATGGGCTTCTTGTTCTCTACAGACTTGCAGGAAAAAAGGGCTTGTCATTTTTAGAATAAGAGGAGTATTCTTCATCTTTTCAGAGGGATTGCCTACCTGTAGTTCAACCCAGCATGGTGGCTCACTTCTTTCTCCATTGGCTAAAGTCCTCCGCAGTCGCTCTGAACAGTAGGAGGAGTACTCACTTGGCCCATAACATATGAAGCTCTGCAGGTACTGTGGCCAAAAGATTATGGAACATAACACACAACATAACCTTAACATGATGTGACGTGATGTGATGTGACGTTACGTAATGCCACGTCACATAACATCACGTAACGTAACATAACATAATGTAATGTTGTCACATCACATCAAGTCACGTAATGAAACGTAATGTGACAAAGTAACGTAATGTAACACAATGTAACCTAAGTAACAACATACCAAAACATAGCATGAAATAAAACATTACACTACATAATAACAATACATAAAATGTAAAAAAAAATAACGACATAACACAACACAAAACAAAACGGTATAACATAACATAACAACATAAAACAAACATAAGAAAAACCGCATGACAATACACGATATAACAACATAAAATGAGATGACATAACACATAAAACATAGCACATATAAAACAGCATAACAAGACATACAACATATCATAAAATATAAAACATGACAAAACAACAACATAACATAACACAAAACATAAAACAGCATGAAATAACAAACAAGAAAACATAGCATGACATATAACAACATATAAAACGGTCACACTTTATATTAGGGTCTCTTAACTAGTTGCTTATTAGCATGCATATTACTAGAATATTACATTACCTTATTCTACATCCCTAATCCTACCCAATACCTAAACTTAACAACTACCTTACTAGCTATTAATAAGCAGCAAATTAGGAATTTATTGAGGGAAAAGTCGTAGTTAATAGTGAATAAGTGTTCCCTATATTAAAGTGTTAAATAACACTTTTCTCAACACATTTCTCATACCACAACATTACATGACATACAGTATAACATGACATAACATTACAAAACAACATTAAACAACATACATAACAACATAAACAATCTGCATGACAACACATAACACAACTAAACATAACATAAACCAACATATAATAACATGACATATAACACAACAACATGTAATATGACATATTTTGTGATAATGAGTGGATAAATTCACATTAGCTCTTAAATAACAGAACAGAAATCAAATAGTATTTCATACCTTACTGAGGCGATCCGTCGGGGGGAAAATACCCAGACAGATGGACAAAAGAACCCAGCCTCTGTTTGTACTTTTGGGGTTCTTATTGGCTGTTAACTGCTTAAGGATCTGACAGTAGATTTCATCTCTGAAAAATATATATAAACTCATAAAGATGATCTAACAATTATCTCTCTGTGTGGGAAATATATTCCACATTGTGAAGAATGTAAATGACCAATGGCCCATCACATTCACCTTATATCTTGTCGTACGATAGCATATCCTACAATAATATGCAATTTCTCCAGTGGTGTCATTGGACGATCATAAGTTGCTCTCTCTCCAAACAGCACATCCTCTTCCTCCTGAACAGCCTGCATTTTAGGTTGTGGTTCTTCTTCTGGCTGCAAATTTCATTGGAATGATTATTAGGAACCATGATGCAGTTAGCTGTGGGTAATGATCAGTGCTTTAGTATACCTCTTCTTCAGGAATGGCTGAGTGTTTTTTCTTCCCTGTCCCCTTCTGTTGCTTAATTTTTTTTCTCAAAAATTTCTACAATTACAAGACCAACAGACAAATAAACCCACAAAAGTTTGTTCGATGTAATATAATTCTATAAGACAAGTAACAGTCACATTTCTGTTGGGTTACTGACTATTATGACAGTATTTAGCAGTTCTTTATTTGTGGTTTGGTCCTTTGATGTATTTTTTAAAAGTGTAAATATTTAATTTTCTTCCTCTGTATTCACATCAAAATCTTTATATTGTTATGTCTTGCATTTTTTCACCAGAAGGCATTTTACCTGTGTGTGTACATTCAAATATTTAAAGCAATATAATATATACTAATATCAAACAGCACGAAAATGCATGTTGATCTGGTTGGTCTTTTCAGCAGCGTAGGCACTGGAGGTTCTGTATGAGCTGAACATCTGGTAAATGTAAAAAAAAAAAAAAACCTTTGTTTTATAGTGTCTTGTTTGTTTACCTGATCTAATCCAACAAGGTTACTGAGTCGCCGTGCTTGTCTCTCACCAAGGTTCATCTGAATGGGGTCAGGTATAGCAGAAACACGTTCTTGCTTCGGCTCTGGAAGATCTCCCATAAACCTCAGTATGATCCACCATACTGTCAAACAAGCCTGGAGGAGGAAGGAAAAAGCGGAGAAAACCCCCCCCCCAAAAACAATACAAGACACAGTTGATCATCAAGATTTGCTTTTGATGGGAACATGTTTCTAATGAGAACAGCACTTGCCAGGGCATCCCCTTCATCTTCATGGTAGAGCAGGGGCTGTCGTAATCTCTGTTGGATATGTGAGAGAGTAGATGATCCTTGGAAGTGTAAAGAAGCAAATTTAGAGAAAGAGAACTCATCGTTCTCCTTCTCCTTCTCTTTCTCATTCTCCATTTCTTTCTCCTTTTCCTTCTTCTTCTGCATTTGCTTTTCCTTTTCCTTTTCCTTCTCCTTCTCGTCCTCGTCCTCTTCATCTTGACTGTCTTCACTGCTGTCTGGTAATGACATCACCTTCCTCTCCCTTACAGGGCTCTCTACTAATTCAACCTCTTCTAACTTCACCGGCTCGGCCTCCAAATCCTAGAAGAACATCAGGAACCAATCACACAACATCTTGCATTCCTAAATGTCTTTGAAAGGCATAATGTACAGTATTATCACTGGATACAGTATCCATTAATTGATTGTGTATCAACAATTAAAGTTGGAGCTGACATAGGCTTATTGGAATTTTTTGAAAAATGAATTTTGATCAGGAAGTGTTAGTTGTCCTGCTTCCTTGATGCGCTGTGAAGATGACTCTAACCTCAAACCCCTCAGGAGCTGGGCCCTCTTGTCCTACTATTGCACTTGGAAGGAAGCCAAAGATATTCTCCACCATTTCCTCATCATCCTTATCCTGGGATTTGCCAGCTTCCTCGTTTTTTCTGAGCAGCTCCTCTAGGTGTTGCTGAAGCGCTAGTGCTGTACGTTCCTGAGCCTCTTTTTCTTGTGCAGTCAAAAATGCCTAAGACAGAACAAGGGTATTAATGATAAATGCTTAAAAAAAATGTTTTTGTGGAAACGGTGACATATTTTCTTCAGGGTTCTTGAAATGAACAGCATTTATTTGAAACAGAAATCTTTTGTGACATTATAAATGTCTTTACTGTTAATTTGGACGAATTTAACACATCCTTGCTGAATAAAGGTAGGCCTATTTTTTTTTAAAATAATTTAATCTTACTTGAAACCTCTGAATTGTACTGCATCATGGTTTCCACAAAAATATTAAGCAGCACAACTGTTTTCAACATTGATAGTAATAAAATATGTTTCTTGAGCACCAAATCAGAATGATCTCTGAAGGATCATGTGACGCTGAAGACTGGAGTAATGGCTGCTGAAAATTCAGCTTTGCCATCACAGAAAAAAAAAAACATTTTAAATACAGTGAAACAGAAAGAAGTTATTTTCAATTGCAATAATATTTCACAATTTTACTGTATTTTTAAAATAAATGCAGCCTTGGTGAAACTTATGCTATGACATAAGAAATCCAAACATTTGACCGGTAGTGCATATAAAACAAAAACAAGACAAAAAATTCTGCAAAAAGTACTAAAAACCAAGAAATCTGCTCTGTTCCACTGTACAATCTCACATCTGTTTTCATTCTCTTGAGGGTCTTCCTGGCCAGCAGTCCTCTGGTCTGTGCCTGCAGCAGTATCACTGCATCCTTTTTGCGTTTCAGGTCTTTCCTCGCGAGGTAGCCACGGGTCTGTGTTTGCAGAGTGATGGCTGCAGCCCGTCTGCGCATATACTCCGTATGGAGCTGCCGACTGCGCACTTTTGCCTGCAGCCGAGCAAATCCTTGCTTGAGCTAACAGGGAAAACAGAAACAATAGGAGGCATTGTTATGAACGTAACAATATTGTAACAATACGTCATTGTTTCAACGTAAATTATTTCATTACACTAATTTTAAGAGCTATTGCATATACTGTAGACATTAGATGTTCCTGCATAGCTTACTTTGCAAAAGTCTCTTCTGTCTCTGTGGCCACGCCAGTTTTTCTGCAAAACCAGAGCTGCCCTCCTCTTCTTTACAAAATTTGCTCTGTATGTGAATGACGAATGACTTAATTTAACATTGCTGTACAATTACATAAAAAATACTATGTAGACACGCGACAGTGGGGAACGAACCTGTCCTTATGGGCAAGCATTACTCTTTGGATGATAAGTGCCTTGCTGTAAAGCTCTTGCTCTCTCTCCAGTTCTAGGAAGGAGTCATGATGATCCTGTGACAGAGTGAAAGAAGAAAACACACAGTGCACAAAAATTCTTATGTGAAAAACGATGACATAAACAGTACAGATGTAAAATTAGTATTGAGAAATATTACTCCTAAGGTACCCTGAGAAAGACTTTGGTTTTGCCAATCTTCCAGTCCTCTTCGTCTTTGATCATAGCCCTGCAGATGGCTGCACAGCAGTTTGCAGCAGGCTCCTGATGAACAAATAACAAATATTTCCATTTATATCAAATCATTCCAACCTAGAACATTCATCATTGTTTAAAGCTGAACATGTAATTCTTTTCATTTCTCATATGTCGGCTTCATTGTGTACACAATTATAAGTGAATCATTAATAGTTTGATTCACAGTGCATTAACTAGTGTTAACCAATACAAATTCTGCAGGCAACGTCTGCAAATGCAGAGACTGACATTAACTAAGATTAATAAATGCTCTAGAAGTGTTGTTTATTGTTGTAAGCTCATGTAAACTAATGTAGTTAACTAACGGAACCTTATTGTAAAGTGTTAATAGAGACTTTTAGATCAACATTATATATACATGATTCCTAGCAACCAATCACAGCTGAATTCAGCTATATTCATCAGTTATCACTTTATAATAATTCTCATATTCAGAGCATCACATCTGTAAACAATCATATTAGGCCCATACAGTGTTTGGGTCACAGTGCACAGTCTTCAGGAGCACACGGTAGCGCTGCAGGAAGTCTTTGAAGGTGTGCCGGATGGGATATCCCGACTTGCGTATTTTAATGGTCTCCAGCATTCCAGAGTAGCGAAGCTGCTGCATGCAGAGCTCTCTATTAAAAACCTGAAAAGCAGGAAAAAGAGAAAGCACGATTTGATTATAGTTCTGATGGCTACACAATATAAAATATGCAACTATAGGCATGTGAATTGGTACCATGGGCATCTTTTTGTCATTTGGTTTGAAGCAACGTATGAAGAAGGGCTGACAGAGAGACAGGGCCTTCATCAGAGAATCCAGGGACTGACGGAACTGGCCACTCAGAGTAGATATCTGCCGCCTTGAATCATTTACTTGCTGTGTGACACAAAAAAAGACACAGTATATTGCAAAGCTGTTGCCATTGTCCAGTCAATACTGTCAGTCTACCGTATAAATGTGCCATACTCGTAGTGAGTTCTTTGGCGTCATGAGGATTTTGTTGATTTTGTTATTGTCCTTGACTGAGTTTTTATTCGTCTCCTTTTCAAAGATCTGTTTGAGCAACTTGTTGGAAGATTTCTGAACCAGCTCCATGATGTCCACGCTCAGGGAGTCTCTGTTCTTCTCCAAAAATCCTGACAAAATACAGCACTTTTAGATCAGAGGCAATTTGCTTTTTAAAATAACTATTGGGAAATGCAGCATGCATGTCAAAACCGAGTCTTTAAGTAATGAATTGTACCTTCACAGTCATAATAAACCGTCCCAGCAAAGTGCTTAACCCCAAATTGCATGCCATGGTTGCTCTTGGATGACATGTACAGTTTGTTTCCGTTATGTTCTTTGTTCATTTTGTTTAACATTGTGGCATCTGTTCCCTGCATTGAAAACAGGACAACGCAAGGTGAGCACAGACAAAATATCCATAAGCATATACACCACTCATGTAACTTATGAAGCTCACCTTAGGAAAGGTGCTCTCCTCATCAATCAGAGCCAGTATGTTGAGAGGTTTAACAGCCAGCAGGTCAAGGGTTTTCTGGTTGTCACTGAAAGCAATGCGCTTCCATGAGATTTCTTCTTTACTGTACTCATCCTGCTCCAGCTTGAAGATGTGCCCCACAAAGAACTGCTGCAGGTGCTCATTGGCATAATTAATGCACAGCTGCTCAAAACTAAACAAAAAGAGGGCAGAAGTACAGAGAAATTATATTTACGACTCGAGTATGGGTACTGTGTCAATATCTATCTATCTATCTATCTATCCCTGAAATTATACTTAAATGTAGTAATGACCCTAGTAAAAAGTAATATATTTAAAGTACATTTATTTCATACTAAGTATAGTTCAAATCTATTAACATATTTACTGACATATTGCTCGAGACTTACTGATATAAAAATTATAATCAAACTTCATTTGGAGTATCACTTGTGCACAATGCACATTTCTTAATATTAAGCCTAAAATTTGTTTTAATATCACTATTGATGAGGATCGTATGATCTTTGAATAATATCGGCAAGATATTTAAAGTGTACCTAAAGCAAACTTGCAATAGTTCCACTTCAACACAATCCAATCTACTATATCTTTAATTGGATCTCAGCACTACTTCCGCACAATTAAAGTGCATTAAGTACTAAATTAGTTTAAGACTTTAAGTATACCAGTTTAGTATACTAAAAGTATGGGTATTTTTATTAAGTACATAAATACGTAAATGTATTTGTAGTATACTTAGCATATAACAAATGTTAGTATATTTATTTTTCACTAGGGGAAGTACAATTGCTCAAGTACTTTAAACCCCTGCTAAATAGTCGCATTAATTTATCATAAATTTTTTTAATTTAACATAATTTTTAGTTTAGACAACAGACACTTACCTGTTCTGAGGGAAATTCTCAAAGCCAAAAATGTCAAGCAGACCAGTGGACTTGCGCGTGTAATTTGGCTCATCCGTCTGGGGTTTGTGAATGGCGCTGTTTATTTTTGTGAAAATCCAAACAAACAGCCTTCCGTACATGGCCTGGCAGGGGGTAGAAAAACATTAATTCACATGTGCAACAATAATGGGAATTTATGAAGCCTGAATGTTGATTGTACTGTATATACACCATTGTTCAAAGGTTTGAGGGTCAGTAAGTTTTTTTTCTTCTTCTTCTTCTTCTGGAAAAAAACATTTGGACAGTATGGTATGAGGATGTGGGTACCTTGGCAAAAGCATCTCTGGTGTCTGTGGCCTGCTCTGAGCTGAGGGGTTTCATGACTATCTCTCTGTTTGTCATGAAGGAGCGATGGGTAAGACTCTTTTCGAGAACAGCATCATCCACCTGCAAAGTGACAGAAGTGCTGTCATCAAATACATTCATCAGCAAACGTTCGATTGCATAAATATAGCAAGCTTTTAAAAAAATTAATTGAGGATAAAGTGCTAAAAGCAGCTAAAGAACATTTCTCTGTACCTCCAGCAACTTGGCAGTGACAGAGAAATTATTGGAGGACATGACGTCACAGCTGTCCATGTTATTCATTATAGTGCCTGAAAAAGATCAGGAGCAAATCACTTAACTTTATGACATTCCTAACTACAATAACTTCTGTGTGTGGGAAGACAGTTGAAATGTTATTACTGTAATAGAAAGGTTATTGACACTAACTCTGAAAGTCAATATTGCCCATGTGGAGAATGGTAGCGAGTAATTTGAAGATTTCCCAGCAGTCCCTGTCTGAGAAAGTGAGGATCTTTAGAGCAGAATGAATCCGTCCGAACTCATCATTATCGTCCCGACCATCACAAGTCAAACAATCACCCTAAAGAACCATCGGAAGGGTCACTTATTGCACTTGTACCTGAGTCAGTGATTATCAGTATTAAAACCTGATAAAGGAATCTGAATTTAGGGAGCAGGAGTGATTTTAACACTCAATGGATATAAGACCAATAATGTTAAGATGTAATTGTGAATTTACGTTATTTGACTTAATTATGGTATACATTTAAAATAGCAGAAAAACTACAAAAATTTGGGCTAAACATTTAGCAAATACACAAGCAAAAATAAAAGCGTTACAAGTACTCTCCGCTCTAAAACATAATCAACTTGAATTGAAGCGCTCACCTCAGTCAGGTACTTGAACTGTGATGCATCACCAAGAGAGAGAGTCTTCTTATGGTCACTTTGCATCCCAGATAACATACAATAAAAAATGTGGTAGTTCCTTTCCTGAGGTGCCTAAAAATTAAATTAAATACATTCATAATTAAATTATCTTAAAATAATGAAATTAAATTAATAAAAGAACATTTATTTACTCCATTTAATTATTTTAGGTTTTAATCATTCTTTTAATCATTTTATCATTTTAATAATTCAACATCATAAATATCAATTAATATTTATCAAACAGCAATTTCAGACTATTTGAAACTAATGAAGCTCATAAAAGTGCAGAGCCAGTCCAAGGCTCTTAATGTTTTTCTTCAGCACGGACATATTAGTACAGTACATATTACAAGGTACATATTAGTACCTTGGATGTACATATTGGTACTTTAAAAGTATATGTGACCCTGGACCACAAAACCAGTCTTAAGTTGCACGGGGATATTTGTAGCAATAGCCAAAAATACATTGTATGGGTCAAAATTATCGATTTTTCTTTTATGCCAAAAATCATTAGGATATTAAGTAAAGATCATGTTCCATGAAAATATTTTGTAACTTTCCTACCGTAAATATATCAAAACTTAATTTTTGATTAGTAATATGCATTGCTAAGAACTTCATTTAAATGTGCCATACTCGTAGTGAGTTCTTTGGCGTCATGAGGATTTTGTTGATTTTGTTATTGTCCTTGACTGAGTTTTTATTCGTCTCCTTTTCAAAGATCTGTTTGAGCAACTTGTTGGAAGATTTCTGAACCAGCTCCATGATGTCCACGCTCAGGGAGTCTCTGTTCTTCTCCAAAAATCCTGACAAAATACAGCACTTTTAGATCAGAGGCAATTTGCTTTTTAAAATAACTATTGGGAAATGCAGCATGCATGTCAAAACCGAGTCTTTAAGTAATGAATTGTACCTTCACAGTCATAATAAACCGTCCCAGCAAAGTGCTTAACCCCAAATTGCATGCCATGGTTGCTCTTGGATGACATGTACAGTTTGTTTCCGTTATGTTCTTTGTTCATTTTGTTTAACATTGTGGCATCTGTTCCCTGCATTGAAAACAGGACAACGCAAGGTGAGCACAGACAAAATATCCATAAGCATATACACCACTCATGTAACTTATGAAGCTCACCTTAGGAAAGGTGCTCTCCTCATCAATCAGAGCCAGTATGTTGAGAGGTTTAACAGCCAGCAGGTCAAGGGTTTTCTGGTTGTCACTGAAAGCAATGCGCTTCCATGAGATTTCTTCTTTACTGTACTCATCCTGCTCCAGCTTGAAGATGTGCCCCACAAAGAACTGCTGCAGGTGCTCATTGGCATAATTAATGCACAGCTGCTCAAAACTAAACAAAAAGAGGGCAGAAGTACAGAGAAATTATATTTACGACTCGAGTATGGGTACTGTGTCAATATCTATCTATCTATCTATCTATCCCTGAAATTATACTTAAATGTAGTAATGACCCTAGTAAAAAGTAATATATTTAAAGTACATTTATTTCATACTAAGTATAGTTCAAATCTATTAACATATTTACTGACATATTGCTCGAGACTTACTGATATAAAAATTATAATCAAACTTCATTTGGAGTATCACTTGTGCACAATGCACATTTCTTAATATTAAGCCTAAAATTTGTTTTAATATCACTATTGATGAGGATCGTATGATCTTTGAATAATATCGGCAAGATATTTAAAGTGTACCTAAAGCAAACTTGCAATAGTTCCACTTCAACACAATCCAATCTACTATATCTTTAATTGGATCTCAGCACTACTTCCGCACAATTAAAGTGCATTAAGTACTAAATTAGTTTAAGACTTTAAGTATACCAGTTTAGTATACTAAAAGTATGGGTATTTTTATTAAGTACATAAATACGTAAATGTATTTGTAGTATACTTAGCATATAACAAATGTTAGTATATTTATTTTTCACTAGGGGAAGTACAATTGCTCAAGTACTTTAAACCCCTGCTAAATAGTCGCATTAATTTATCATAAATTTTTTTAATTTAACATAATTTTTAGTTTAGACAACAGACACTTACCTGTTCTGAGGGAAATTCTCAAAGCCAAAAATGTCAAGCAGACCAGTGGACTTGCGCGTGTAATTTGGCTCATCCGTCTGGGGTTTGTGAATGGCGCTGTTTATTTTTGTGAAAATCCAAACAAACAGCCTTCCGTACATGGCCTGGCAGGGGGTAGAAAAACATTAATTCACATGTGCAACAATAATGGGAATTTATGAAGCCTGAATGTTGATTGTACTGTATATACACCATTGTTCAAAGGTTTGAGGGTCAGTAAGTTTTTTTTCTTCTTCTTCTTCTTCTGGAAAAAAACATTTGGACAGTATGGTATGAGGATGTGGGTACCTTGGCAAAAGCATCTCTGGTGTCTGTGGCCTGCTCTGAGCTGAGGGGTTTCATGACTATCTCTCTGTTTGTCATGAAGGAGCGATGGGTAAGACTCTTTTCGAGAACAGCATCATCCACCTGCAAAGTGACAGAAGTGCTGTCATCAAATACATTCATCAGCAAACGTTCGATTGCATAAATATAGCAAGCTTTTAAAAAAATTAATTGAGGATAAAGTGCTAAAAGCAGCTAAAGAACATTTCTCTGTACCTCCAGCAACTTGGCAGTGACAGAGAAATTATTGGAGGACATGACGTCACAGCTGTCCATGTTATTCATTATAGTGCCTGAAAAAGATCAGGAGCAAATCACTTAACTTTATGACATTCCTAACTACAATAACTTCTGTGTGTGGGAAGACAGTTGAAATGTTATTACTGTAATAGAAAGGTTATTGACACTAACTCTGAAAGTCAATATTGCCCATGTGGAGAATGGTAGCGAGTAATTTGAAGATTTCCCAGCAGTCCCTGTCTGAGAAAGTGAGGATCTTTAGAGCAGAATGAATCCGTCCGAACTCATCATTATCGTCCCGACCATCACAAGTCAAACAATCACCCTAAAGAACCATCGGAAGGGTCACTTATTGCACTTGTACCTGAGTCAGTGATTATCAGTATTAAAACCTGATAAAGGAATCTGAATTTAGGGAGCAGGAGTGATTTTAACACTCAATGGATATAAGACCAATAATGTTAAGATGTAATTGTGAATTTACGTTATTTGACTTAATTATGGTATACATTTAAAATAGCAGAAAAACTACAAAAATTTGGGCTAAACATTTAGCAAATACACAAGCAAAAATAAAAGCGTTACAAGTACTCTCCGCTCTAAAACATAATCAACTTGAATTGAAGCGCTCACCTCAGTCAGGTACTTGAACTGTGATGCATCACCAAGAGAGAGAGTCTTCTTATGGTCACTTTGCATCCCAGATAACATACAATAAAAAATGTGGTAGTTCCTTTCCTGAGGTGCCTAAAAATTAAATTAAATACATTCATAATTAAATTATCTTAAAATAATGAAATTAAATTAATAAAAGAACATTTATTTACTCCATTTAATTATTTTAGGTTTTAATCATTCTTTTAATCATTTTATCATTTTAATAATTCAACATCATAAATATCAATTAATATTTATCAAACAGCAATTTCAGACTATTTGAAACTAATGAAGCTCATAAAAGTGCAGAGCCAGTCCAAGGCTCTTAATGTTTTTCTTCAGCACGGACATATTAGTACAGTACATATTACAAGGTACATATTAGTACCTTGGATGTACATATTGGTACTTTAAAAGTATATGTGACCCTGGACCACAAAACCAGTCTTAAGTTGCACGGGGATATTTGTAGCAATAGCCAAAAATACATTGTATGGGTCAAAATTATCGATTTTTCTTTTATGCCAAAAATCATTAGGATATTAAGTAAAGATCATGTTCCATGAAAATATTTTGTAACTTTCCTACCGTAAATATATCAAAACTTAATTTTTGATTAGTAATATGCATTGCTAAGAACATTTGAACTTAATTTCACCCTCAGATTCCAGATTTTATTAGTTGTATATGTAATAAAACTATATAATATAATATAATATAATATAATATAATAAACAAAGTCATTCTACTCATTGGGTTTGATGACTGTTTACATTCACTTTTTCTGACATTTGACCAAGTACGCAAAGAGCAGAACTTATATCTCTAATTGTACATTGACCACTCACATATTTTATGATATGTGACCCTGGACCACAAAACCAGTCTTAAGTCGCTGGGGTATATTTGTAGCAATAGCCAAAAATACATTGTATGGGTCAAAATTCTTTTATGCCAAAAATCATTAGGACATTAAGTAAAGATCATGTTCCATGAAGATATTTTGTAAATTTCCTACCATAAATATATCAAAACTTAATTTTTGATTAGTAATATGCATTGAACTTCATTTGGACAACTTTAAAGGCGATTTTCTCAATAGTTTTTTGGGTTTTTTTGCACCCTCAGATTCCAGATTTTCAAATAGTATCTCGACCAAATATTGTCCTGTCATAGCAAATCATACATCAATGGAAAGCTTATTTACTCAGCAGAAGTCTTACCTGATGACAGACACGAGACTTCTCCAGCAGGTACTGCTCCATGTGAGCTCCCTCTATATCGCCTTCTTTATTGAAGAAGACCTCCACATATTTCCCAAAGCGGCTGGAGTTATCATTCCGAATGGTTTTGGCGTTCCCAAAGGCTGTAAGACATGCATAAGTGAGACAGCTTTCTATGGAAATGATTAAAATAGTCCAACAAACAAGCCTGTTCAGCACTTACCCTCCAGGACAGGGTTGGCCTGGATGATCTGCTGCTCTATCCAGGAGTGCTGCCCGCTCACAGCAGCCAGGAACTGAAGAATCAGTTTAGTGCTTTCTGTCTTCCCTGCACCAGATTCTCCACTGACACACAAACCAAAAGCATTTATCATGTATTGTTTGCCAAGATTTGCACAGATAACTTTATCTTGTAAATTAATAAATATAGCTTTCAGATGATTTATAAATCTCAATTTTGAAAAATTGACACTTATGACTTGTTTTGTGGTCCAGGATCACATATGTAAATCATATCTTATAATCACACTTATAAATCATATGTAAAAACATTCTCTTACAAGTGCAGCATTAGTGTGGCCACTAAACATGCCATTAGATTAGATTCTTAATATTCAGAAGAAAAGATCATATATGTACCTGATAATGCAGCACTGGTTGCGTTTGTTGCGGCGCATGTTGTAGTAACAACTGTCAGCGATAGCAAAGATGTGCGGTGGGAGCTCGCCCAGCTTACGCCCGTGATACAGGTCCACCTGCTCCGCCGTGTAGATGGGCAGCATCTGATAGGGATTCATGGCCACCAGGACAGAGCCAATATAGGTCTAAACAGCACACACAGAGAAAACTACATATATCACATAGCTTATACACAGCAGGATCCAAACAGAAGAGGACACATCTGGAAATCTGGGATTAAATTGAACTTAATCTAAAGATTAAACAGAAAGTTTAAGGATTTACAACAAAGAAACATTATGATGTAAAATTAATAATGAATATTTTAGATTCTGCACTATTGCTAGGTTACTAATCAAACCAAGTAAATTTGTGAGACTGAGCGATTCTTTATACAAATGGTCAGATGTTCTTCTTAAGATCTCACACCACTTTTTGGATCATGTCAAATCATTCTAAAAAACATGATCTTTCAGTTTTATACAACGCTGTTCAGTGTTGCTGTCATTAAGGCAAAAGCACTATAGGTACTCTACTAAGACACTATGCAATTCATTCACTATGCAATATTTTAATTAATCTTTTCACTCAAATTGTTATCTGCATAACTAAACTTGTTATTAAACAATTACTCATTTTAAAAAATTCAATTTTCCCCACTGCTCTCAGACATAGATATGTATACGATATGCTCTCAGACCCTACTGTACGCAGATATTGCAAATACATCTAAAAATACATCACACAACCCATGAGGTTTATGCACTGAAAAATTTTTTCCCAAGGACAAGTTATTTATTTTTCATTGGCTCAAGTTAAAAAATATAGATGTAAATCATTACCCTAATTTTTTTTAATTGGATGAATGAAACATTTTTTTCAGTGTGGTAAAAAAATAAATAACATTTGTTTGCCAGATTTTTACTGCATTTTTAATTTTATAATTTAAAAAGGGTTAGTTCACCCAAAAATGAAAATGAGCCCACAAATTGCTTACCCTCAAGTCATCCTAGGTGTATATGACTTTCTTCTTTCAGACGAATCCAGTCGGAGTTATATTAAAAATTGTCTTTGATCTTTCAAGCTGTTTAATGCCACTCAGCGGGTGTTGCATGCATCAGTCCAAAAGAAGTTAAATAAAAAGCGCCCATCCATAAAAAATAGTGTCTCACACAGCTCCGGGGGGTGAACAAAGGCCTCCTCTAGCTAATCCATGCGTTTTTGTAAGAAAAATATCCATATTCAAAAACGTAATAATCACTTTAATGTAGCTTGTGCCAACAGTTGTGAGCTAGATTAAAGTGATTATTACATTTCGATTAGGGATATTTTTCTTACAAAAATGCATCGATTCGCTACAGGAGGCCTTTGTTCACCCCCCGGAGCCGTGTGAGACATTTTTTATGGATGGGCGCTTTTTATTTAACTTCTTTTAGACTGATGCATGCAACACCCGCTGAGTGGCATTAAACAGCTTGAAAGATCAAAGACAATTTTTAATATAACTCCGACTGGATTCATATACATATACATATAAGTCATATACACCTAGGATGGCTTGAGGGTGAGTAATTTGTGCGCTAATTTTCATTTTTGGGTGAACTAACCCTTTAAATCTAAATCTACATTTAACAGAAATTTTATATTGTAAATGTGAGCTGTCACACAGAGAATACAGTTTTTCACTGTAAATTCTAAGATGTTTTTTTACTTCCAAAAACTGTACATTCAGTATTATATATCAGTATTTTAAAGTAGAATTACATGAAACGTCTCATAAGATCTATTACAGTTTTTCATCATAGAGTAAGCGAACTTACCATTAACCAATGAACAGATTTTTACTGTATTTTTAGTCTTCCACCATTCAAATTATGATCATTATTAAAAACAACTCAAATACTAATTAGGAAAAGCATTATATTTAATTTGATGACTACAGAGGCTGACTAAAAATCCACAAACCAATTCATTTTATACAGTAAGCTGAATAAACTTACATATATACTGCCCTGTTTGTGGCGCACCAGCAGGTTTCTGAGTAAACCGGCTTCACTGAGGTCCCCCAGTCGGATCATGTCATCCACACCCTCCACTGAGGTGGGGTGCATAAGCTTCAGACTGGCCTTCTCCCCCTCCGGGATATTGCACTCCTGGGAAACCAGCACTATACATGAGATTCATCCGACTACGCAAATGTAGATGAATTAGAATACTAGAATAATACAGAATGTGTTGTGATGTAATATTCCATTACAGTGGATTATTAGGGGATAGCAGGGCTAGTTGAATATTTGCAAGGGTATATTTAATAATTTAATGTTTTTAAATAAAAAACATTAAATGGCCTATAGGTTTTTCTGTTAAAAAACAAGATTATGATTCATATGTAATATTATTATTACATTATGTAAACATTATTAACACATTGCTAATTATTTATTAATATAGCACATTTAGCATCACAATTAAATTAAATATCCAATTAGTAAAAAAACTGTAAAATGACAAGACTACATAGACACACTAGCAAATGTTTATCAAATATCTCCACTACTCAAGACGACAGTGTGAAAAAATGTGTTGAACTTAGATTTAAAAGTCTTCACTGATTAATTGAATGTTTCAAATATGTAACATTTAAAAACACAAATGACAATTTGCTCCACTTGTATTTTATGAAACATACCCTTGTACTGATAATACAGATCAGACTTTGTTTTAAAATGTCCCCAACAACGACAAAATATCTGATTATAGAGACATTTTAGCCTGAAGGACAGAATTCTCAAAAATAAAAATTTAAGATGGTACTGTAGACCACGTAGCTAGAGAAAACACGTTTTGAGTAACTGGATCTTAGACTCAAAACCTTACAAATAAAAGCCCTTGTGACAGTTAGCACCGGTCTCTTTACTGTACAAGTCATCGCCGAGTCATGTTTTTACCTTCCCTTCATCATCAATCAGGCAACACTGTCCACTGGCTGAGACCTTCACATACCCTCCAATAGGGACCCCAATACTGGAGTCAATCCAGAAGTGATCCCCCTAGATTCAGATTCACATTCACATGAACTACATTTGAAAACCAAACACTACTCACAACCAATTCAAACATCACAATTTCACAACAAAAACTTAGGGCAAGAAAGTAAATAAATGAACACACACCTTTTTTAACATCACCATTTGAACAATCCCTTTTGTCCCACAGGCATCTAATTGAAATTAAAATCCCCAAAAGATAAGTAAATAAATATATTAACCAGTTGGAAATGTAACCCTCATTGAAGCGTGTACAGCTGAAAACTATGAATCTTTTCGTTAACTGTGGACGACCCTCGCTGACTGATTCCGAGAAGGAATTAAAAAAACATTCGTGTCCAAACGTAATTTTTCCATTCGCTTGTGTGACAGCAACAAGGAAGTGTCCCTAGTGTTCATTCTTTATGGCCCCTAGACTTTGCTCCACCATGGGCTGATTATCACCATCAACCACTGAAGAGATGTCATTAGAAGTCCAAAAGCTTGACTTTTTGAGGTTCCAATGAGCTGAATTGCAACAAAGTCAGAAACAAATAATAAATTAGACAATGACTTGAAAATCACAAGCTTTTAGTGGCTTGATACATTTACACGTGAAATCTGAAATCCCCTACCCATTAACTACGCACGACATGTGCCTTTTGGACTTTTCACACAAGAGGAAGATGGTACCAGAGGACAGCTTTATTATTTGAGTCAGAGCGGCTGTTAAGCAGTAAAACTGTGAGATTCTAGAGGATACATTCATTCAGTCTCACTGCACAGATACTGGAATTGCTTGGGCGTCATATATAAGCAGTGGTTTTCATAAGACGATGATGTCGCACACACTGATTATGAAAATATACAGAAGCAGTCAGCAGGTTTCAAAGTACACAGTTAAGGTCAACACTAATACATCCTTATTTCCTGGAGGTTGACGGTATATTCAGACTTATTATAGCCCTTAAAAACAAAGCTTCAGTACTGTAGCTGCCACTTAGATAAGCATAATTAATGATTATGTTTGAGGAATAAGGATGTAAAGTGTTACGTTCTGTGTTATTAGTCTCCATGGTGATACGATGGAAACCAAACCAGCTGGATAACTCTAGAACCATAAATGACTCAAGAAAGGAGGGATCAATTATTTAAGTGCTTAGAAACTCCAAATGTTAGTCACAACCTATAAACCGATAACCATTACTTATCTAAACACATTCTATTCCAGCCCCTAAGACAACCAGACAAGCATCTTGACTTGGACAGTGGCTTCATAATGTAAATAAAAAGTGTCTGGATTGTCACAGAGGGAAAACACAATAAACAACACCTTATTTTCAGTTTTTCAGGAAAAATACTAAATTTAAAGACCCACTTGTTTCAAGGAATTAAACTACATAGACTGTCATTGAAAAGTTTGAGGTCAGTTCTTTTTTAAAGAAATTACTAGCAAGGACGCATTCAACTGATCAAAAGTGACACAAAAATGTTTCACGTTTTCCACAAAAATATTAGCCAGCATGACCGTTTTTAAACACTGGTAATAGAAAAACATGTTTCTTGGGCAGCAAATCAGACTGAAGTAATGGCTGCTGAAAATTCAGCTTTGCCATCACATAAAAATATATTAAATATATTAAGTTATTTTAAATGGCAATAATATTTCACAATTTTGTGGTTTTTATTTCCCCTTACTTCCTTTAATGTTTTGGCCATTCAGTAAATCATAAACTAATCAAAATGATTTCCAAAGTAACCACATGAAACTTTACTGCTCAAGCCAGCTACTGTCATTAAAAGTTTGTTTAAAGGAACACTCCACTATTTTTGAAAATAGGCTCATTTTCCAACTCCCCTAGAGTTAAACAGTTGAGCTTTACCGTTTTCGCAGCAGGCGCAATGATATTATGCAGTGCCTGAAAATAGGTTTATTGGAAGTTACCTAGCTGGGGACTATTTTCAGGCGGTCTCTTATGCTCACAGAGACTGCATTTATTTGATAAAAAATACAGTATATACAGTAATATGACATTATAATTTCAAATAAGTTCTCTGTAATATATGATAAAGGGGGTCATTTAGAACTGCTTTTTTATTATTTTGTACTGTTCTCTGATGTCCCCTTATATCCCCTTACAATGTTATAATGTTATCAAGATTCTTACATTAAAAACATCATAATTTAGATGTAATAAGCTATTTTCTGTCCTGTTTTCAACCCCCCTCATCAGATTCAGAACACTGTTTGAATAGGCGTGGTGGATTGTAGACGCGGAGGTAAACGCCCACTGCTATGATTGGCATGTTGTGTATGTTTGACAGACAGCCTAGATTCCTCACAGATGGACACTGCTGTGATTTAGGTTAAAAACATATAAATGCTCAGTATATATCAAACGATCAATAACAGACAAAAAATAGTGATCACATATTAAAACCAGTTACTCACAGTTGTGTGGTGCAAAATTACTGTTGGATCCAATATAGTTGGCACAGGATTGTCTTGTAGTTTCAATCATTCTGAAAATCCCGCGTCGAATTGTGCCTTGTTTGTAAATGAATCCGCGGTCAAATTAAGTGAAGAAAGGATCAAGTTCTTACTGACTCGGTCTGGAACTTCATTAAAAAATAAAGTTAATCCACTCTTTCCTAATATTGGGATCAGAAAAAAGGTAGTGTAGACTGTTTTTCCACAACTTGGCACTGAACAGCATCTTGTGTTCGGAGCCATGTTTATCGTTTGATTTCTGCATAATCCCGCGTTCGACCCTCCAGTTATGCGCGAATCGGTGGGCGGGGCCAAACAGGCAGCGATGTAGAAGCAGGCATTGATCTTCCTCTGCGGAGGCGGAGTTTAGCCACACTATTACATCATAAAGTGGTACATTCCACAAGCTGTCATTTTGGCCGACTGGATTGAATATTTAGCTGTTTTTACTAACGAGAATGTTTTGAGTTCTGAAACTTACAGAACGTTTTTTTATAGTACAATCAATGACTTATATGTCAGAAGATCAAGGGAATTTTGGTTTCTCAGTTCATGACCCCTTGAAATTAATATATTGTTTTTAAAATGCATTTATTCTGGGCATTTTTGCCTTTATAGGACAGATCAAAAATGACAGGAAGCTAAGTGTGAGAAAGATGGGGGACGGGGGACAGGGGGGTAGTTGGGTCCGGAAAGGTCCTCAAGTCGGGATTCGTACTGGTGACACCCCTAGCACAACAGTGCTGTATGTTGACATGGTGCCCACAAGGTTATCAGCGCCAACAATTAATATATTGTTAAGTATATGCTGATTCAATGTGAAAAGAACTTAAATTTATCAGTTGAAAACAGTTAGCCTCCTTAATAATTTTGCGGAAACTGATATATTTTACCACATCATATTTTTTACTGTTCTTTTGATCAATTTAATGTCTGTTGAATAAAACTATTATTATTATTATTATTATTTAAAAAATGTAAATACAGTGGTAAGCGATGATTTTGTTGCTTTTATCAGAGGGAATACACCAATATCAACATTTGTATTAAATTAGACTTTGTAAAAAAAAAAAAAAAACAGATTCATGTACAAAGTGTCTTTACTTCAGCAGCGGAGTGCAACATGAAATGTCATTCAAAATGAAACTGAGTGATCAAACAGTATACAAGGCTTTATCTTTGCCACAAATTACACTGCTTCAAGCAACTTAACTGGAAAAATAAACATAATATTGTTCATTTATGAAGAAACGAAAATGGAAGAGGACTTATTTTATTAACATACTTGGGTTTAACTTAGATACACAACTGTGTGCATACGCACAATCAAATCTCTCCTCTAAATTGTAATTGACATGTCATATCTGAACATGATTTTCACACCTTTAATGCTTGAATGAAATCCCCCCCCCCAAATAAAGAGCCAATCCAGAAAGCCATAGCTGGAGCAGTGCTAGCAAGACTGATGACACATAAAACATTCCTCACAAATCAACAGGCAGAGACGTGAGAAGGTAAAATGACACAGACATTTAGACTCCATTAAACCTTCACCAAACCCATCCTATGAGGCACACGGAAAGGCACAATACTCCATTTCACCAAAGCACCTTTAACGTTTCCCACAATACACGTGGTAAAAAACTTCAGTCTTTGTTCACCTAGGACGGAGAGGATGGTGTTGTTATGGCTTCTCAATTCTTATTGTTTCGAACGCTACAATACAAAATGGAAACCTTTCAGTACGAAGAACAGCCATTGTGTAATACAGCCACAGTACAGACTGTCAATAGCAGGTCACCATTCAAGGCACCCAAATGAAAAAGTGGTGAATATAATCTATAGACTTGAAGATGTACAACATTGCTTTTACGGATATCTGTGGCTCATCCATGGATGATTACGTATAACATCCAACAACTACTCTCAAGTAACCTCTTTGTGACTGAATTAAGATGTCTTGATTGAAATCAAACATTCAGACATTCATATTTCAGTGAATATACAGTTAAGGATGCATGTTGTGGTTAATTTAACATTGCTGTTCCCTACAGATTCTGGGAAAGGAAGGGTGTGCCAGATGAAGACATCTTGCCGACAGACCAGGACTGTCTTCTGGTAGAGATAGGGTGAGGCAGGGCAGTGTGCCTGCATGCTAGGGGTCGAGGTGCAGGAGGGTCTGTGGTCGTGCTGAACTCTGTCCCATATCTGGTCAGTTTGTCTCATGCTCTGTCCTTACGCTTCAGCTTATTGAGCTTCTTTGTGCTGCTGTTCTTGTTGAGCATCTTCATCACACGCTCCTTGTGATCCAGCACCTTCAACATGGAGTCACGGGCTTCTGTGATCTGGTCCATCACCAGCTTGCAGCGCTGCATGTTGCCCTATTCAGTGAAACAGTATTATGATTAAGATTTATTAATTATTCGGCAAGGGCACGTAAAGCTAATCAAAAGTGACAGTAAACCATTTATAATGGGACAAAGGATTTCTATTTCAAATAAATGCAAAGGATGCTGAATAAATCTGATCAGTTTCCACAAAAATATTAACTGTTTTCAACTGTTTAACTGCATTGATAATAATAAGAAATGTTTCTTGAACAGCAAATTATTTCTGAAGGATCATGGGACACTGAAGACTGGAGTAATGATTGCATCACAGGAATAAATTACATACTAAAACATTAAAATAGAAAAGTTTTTTAAATTGTAATAATAATAATAATTCACAATATTCCTGTTTCTACTGTATTTTTGATCAAATAAATGCAGCTTTGGTGAGCATAAGAGACAAACTTTTTTATTATAGTAAAGATGCACGGATAATAAAATTAAATACAGGCATCACAACATTATAATGTATAGTATGAAAAAATGTATACTTATTCTGAGATTCTACATTTAACAGGGTTATTACACTAAATCATTATTATTAAAGAATTTAATTAAATCATTTATTGGGATGTTAAAAATGTAAGTGAGCACTGCAATGACACAAAGGTAATCAAATATAAACATTGACTGTAACCAATGAATAAAAATAAACACATGATAACAACCCGTACGAAAGTGTGGGTAAAAGTGATCAGCAGCTCAAACCTGAATGAGCTCATTTATACGGTGAAGATCATCATTGGCTCCAGCCTTCTTCTTCGGGACGAGGCCTTCCTGAAGAGTCGTCAGACGACTGTAAACATCACGTTCCAGATTTGTCTGCAGACAGGTGACAAAACACACTCATTCTGACATAAGCTTGACATCACCACCGTCTTGTAATGAATTAAAGAGAAAGTCTCACCAGCTGCATGAGCTGAGCTGCACAGAGGTGAATTTTCCAGCCCTGGGCTCTGCACACCACTCCTTTCTGATTGGCCACATCCTGCAGGGTGCCTTTCTTGTCCTCTGATTGGACAACACAAGCTGGTATTAATGAATGATGATAGACTATATAATTGTATTAATGCAAATAAGATACTGTGTGATGAACCTAGACAGACCCTTGACACGGATGTCACTGTATCTCGGAAAATGGTGGTATGCCGCCTTCCAGGGGTTGCGGTAGTGGCGCAGTAGAGTGATCGGAGGCCGAACTCTGGTAGGAACATACCGAACTCCCTCTTCATCTGCAAACAGATTAAGAAACAGACACACTTAATATAGGCATTAGAGGCTACAATGTCTTAGTAATGTAACTGGGTTTCTTAAAGTGAAAACTTCAAAATCAAATCATATTACATAACTTGTAATAAGTCAAAATTGTACAGATAGTCCCACAATTGGTGCCATCAGTGCAACTGTAGTTGCTAGTCATTTCCAGGACAGCTTACAAAGATGTTTCTGATCTTTATCTCTATGTTGTTATATCTTAATCCAGCAATGTTATTACGTTTGGCCTCTGTTCTGTTATGTTACGACACCGTCACTGTTGCCATTTCACAATGTACCATTTAGAACAAAGGTTGGCTGACTTTCACAGGTAGAAGGCGGTAAGGTGTCTTAAGATATTCCAAGTTTTTTTTCAGACATAGGAGAGACAACAATCAAAGACTTGTTATTAAGTATTATTATAGTGTTTGTTGTACTAGTTTTTAAATTTTATTTTAATGTGATGATTAAGTAAAAATAAAAATAAATATATACAGGTGCATCTCAATAAATTAGAATGTCGTGGAAAAGTTCATTTATTTCAGTAATTCAACTCAAATTGTGAAACTCGTTTATTAAATAAATTCAGTGCACACAGACTGAAGTAGTTTAAGTCTTTGGTTCGGCGTGGCATGGAGGTGATCAGTTTGTGGCACTGCTGAGGTGGTATGGAAGCCCAGGTTTCTTTGACAGTGGCCTTCAGCTCATCTGCATTTTTTGGTCTCTTGTTTCTCATTTTCCTCTTGACTATTAATCGAATGAAACTTAGCATAATTTAACAGCAATTTATTAAAAGTTAAAGCACTATGAAATGTTTTATTTTTTCCCTCAAATTTATTTTTATTTTTACCCAATTCTGTGTTTTCCATTAATATTCTGTATTCCATTTTAATGGTTTCATTAAATTTTAATAATCAAAAGCATCTCTAAATAAGTTGAATTAAATAATTGATTTTATTAAAAAAAAAAAATTTTTTTTATTGTTTTTTCTATTTCTTTTGTTCCCCCCAGAAATACTGTGTTGTGTATTTACATTTTTCTGGTAAATAAATTCTGGTAAATATTATCTTCTGGTAAAAATTCCTTAAAAATAATGTTTTAATAATAATAATAATAATAATTTATTAGCAGTAATAGTACTATGATCACATTAAGGAATATGTTTCTGTCACAGTTTCTTCAAGTTAAAACTTTTATTTTAATGGGTTGCTGTGAAGACCCTTAAAGGATTAGTTCACCCAAAAATGAAAATTCTGTTATTAATTACTCACCCTCATGTCATTCCAAACCAGTAAGACCTCCGTTCATCTTCAGAACACATATTAAAGAGACAGTTTAATATGTCGAAGGTACGACAGTTAGCGGAAGCTAGAGATTAAGGTTTATAAAGTTGTAAATATGGATATTTTTCTTACACAAACGCATCGTGTCGCTTCAGAAGGCATTTATTAACCCCCGGAGCCGTGTGGATTTCTTTTATAATGGATTGGTTAAATTTTTTGGACTTCAAATTTTGGGCTACCATTCACTCCCATTATAAAGCTTGGAAGAGCCAGGATGTTTTTTAATATAACTCCGATTGTATTCGTCTGAAAGAAGAATGTAATGTACACCTAGGATGGCTTGAAGGTGAGTAAATCATGGGGTAATTTTCATTTTTGGGTGAACTATCCCTTTAAGATATTTTTGATGGAATCTGACAGCTCTCTGACCCTCCCATAAACAGCAAGGATCCTTACACGATCAAGGTCCAGAAACATATGAAGGAGTTCGGTAAAATAATCCATGTGACATCAGGGGTTCAACCGTAAATTTACGAAGCTACGAGAATACTTTTTGTGCGCGAAAAAAAACAAAAAAAACGACTTTATTCAACAATTCGTCAACAAAACGTAAACAGCGTATGCTGTTCTGTATGCTGTTCTGTGTCAGCTGTGCCATGAGGATTCGTTTTCTACGTTGTTTGCACTTTGATCTGAACGAAAACAACGTATCCGCGTGACGCAGCTGGCACAGAACAGCATACGCTGTTTACGTTCAGTGGATACTCTCCAAAATGACACCAGAGTAACGCGTAGGAGACGAATTGTTGAATAAAGTCGTTTTATTTTATTTTTTCCTTTGCGCACAAAAAGTATTCTCGTAGCTTCGTAAAATTACGGTTGAACCCCTGATGTCACATGGATTATTTTACCGATCTCCTTGCTATGTTTCTGGACCATGATCGTGTAAGGACCCTTGCTGTCTATAGGAGGGTCAGAGAGCTGTCAAAATTCATTAAAAATATCTTAATTTGTGTTCCGAAGATGAACGGAGGTCTTACGGGTTTGGAACAAAATGAGGGTGCGTAATTAATGACAGAATTTTCATTTTTGGGTGAACTAACCCTTTAAGTTTCTGTTTGTATATGATATGATAGCTATATGCAAAACAAATGGTAAAATGTTCATAAAGTGACTCTCAGAGCAGTTCTAGAGATTAAGTTCATGTGTTCATGTAATCATATATTGAGGCGGCAGAGGCTGAAAACAATGCGAGTGTCACGCGCGCTTCAGTATGTGTGTCTGCGCCATTCATTCACACAGAGACACAGAATATGCAGGATTTTATATTTAAATTGTATTTTTGCGGCTTAATATTCACAGACACTAGTTCATATAGCATTTTGATTTAAGTGTACTGACCTACTTTTGATTTGTAGATCCAAAATTTGGCAAATTCCGTGACATTCCACATTATACAGTAAATAAAATTTTTATTACTGGATTCCGCGATTCTGTCCACGTTTTCCGCATCGCAGAAATCACAGAGCCCTACAAATAACCTTTCCCCAACTAGCAGTTCTGCAATGCAAATACCTCATTCTTATTACTGTAATGTGAAAAAATGTTTTATTATTAAATAATTTAAATATTTTGTTATTATTTAAAAGACACTTATAAAGTAACATTTGAAATATCGTACAAGTATTTTTATTGAATTTAATTTGTGCTGATCCTAATAAAATAGAATACAAAAATTCTAATAGTTTTAAAATCCTATTCTAATAAAAAACAAACAAACAAAAAAATAATAATGAAAACACCACTGTCCTACAAAGTGAAAACTCTCAGATTATAAAGCCACACGTTCAAGGACCTTTCTGAATCTTCTAAAAATCTTGAAGAAACAGCTTCATAGTAATGAAGCTTACCAATGTATTCTTTAGGAGGGGACTTGCGCTTCTCTGCACGTTGGCTGAGGGGTTCGGGTGGGAACTTCTCCTCATCTGTGCTGTTGGTCTCCATCATCTCGCTCTCCTCAGTGGAGATGACGTGCTGTTGCTTGCGGGGCTTCTTTCTGGGTGAGGCTCCAGGGGTGATGTCTGCAGCAGGGACTGCCAACATCTGTGCACCACTGTTTGGCCCTGATGCCACTGAGGGAAAGCAACCGCTTTATTAGTTACACCATGAACTGACTGACAATTCTGCCTCCTGATACGTGTTTCTCTGAAGTATAACATCATTCTACATCATCTTTTCATTGTTTTAAATAAGTAAAATATTGGTTGAATTAATTAATCTCATTGTAAAATACAAGGGGATTCATTTTCAGGCTGATATATAGGTTGACTATTAGCGTAAAATCTTGTTTGCATGAAGACCCCACCTGGTTTTGTACTATCCATAGGCTCCACCTCCTGCTTAATATTCATCTCTGGGAGGGTGGAGCTGATGGCACATGCTGAATTAGTGCTGGCAGCTGGCTGAGTGGGCGGGGACACTACATTGGCCATGGAGGGGATTTGCGGGGCGACTGCCATGGCAGCAGGTATGCTGGGATCAGGTTCTTCCTAACAGCAGCACTTTAATAAATCAACAGAGACAGATTAATGACAATTTTGAGAACATCAATATATATATATATATATATATATATATATATATATATATTTTCTCAAAAAGAATTTTAAACTACTAAATTAAAAACATACTAGAATGTCATAGAAACTATTTATGGTAGATTTTCATCAGTGCTGTAATTGTTAACAAACTAAACCGAAAACTATAAAAAATTGTTTTCAGTATTTCAAATACAACTGAAATAAAATAAAACACAATCATTAGGCAACTAACTAATGTAAACATTTGTTGAAGTACTAAAATTACTACAACTATAACAAAAATAATACAAACTAATAAAAAATTAATAAATATGACAAAAGCACAATTACTAAAACTTAAACTAAAGTTAAAATGAAAAAAAAAAAAGCTAATTCAAAACATTAATAAATACTATAATATATAAACAACATGATTCTCATGAAAAGAAGTGTTGGTCATATACATTTAAAATTGTTGGTCATATTTATACAAACCATTCTGAATTACATAAATTCAGAAGGAAAAAATGAAATTATATTTCAAGTAAAGAAACAAACACCTAAAACCTAACACCTTTTAGTATCAATATTTTGTGAAATATTTTGCAATATGAAACTGTTTTGATGATAATTAACTAATATATATATATATATATATTTTCTCAAAAAGAATTTTAAACTACTAAATTAAAAACATACTAGAATGTCATAGAAACTATTTATGGTAGATTTTCATCAGTGCTGTAATTGTTAACAAACTAAACCGAAAACTATAAAAAATTGTTTTCAGTATTTCAAATACAACTGAAATAAAATAAAACACAATCATTAATTAGGCAACTAATGTAAACATTTGTTGAAGTACTAAAATTACTACAACTATAACAAAAATAATACAAATAATAAAAAATTAATAAATATGACAAAAGCACAATTACTAAAACTTAAAACAAAAGTAAAAATAAAAAAAAAAAAGCTAATTCAAAACATTAATAAATACTATAATATATAAACAACATGATTCTCATGAAAAGAAGTGTTGGTCATATACATTTAAAATTGTTGGTCATATTTATACAAACCATTCTGAATTACATAAATTCAGAAGGAAAAAATGAAATTATATTTCAAGTAAAGAAACAAACACCTAAAACCTAACACCTTTTAGTATCAATATTTTGTGAAATATTTTGCAATATGAAACTGTTTTGATGATAATTAACTAGTTAGCAATTAGCAACAGACTTCGTTAAAAAAAACGAAAAAATATTTAAAAATTCAGAAAATATCTGTTTCAATTGTTATGTAGTAATGGAAGAATCATGGGGGTAGTCATTAATGTAATTTTTTATTATTTTTTCTGGAGAAGATGATTTTCATTACTCCATTACAGTAATGAAAATGTTTTCTGGAATTAAAAGATATTATACTTTATATTAGAAGACATTATACTTGGGAGGAAACTAGAAAGTAGTACTCCTAAAAATAGTTTTGATATTCTTAATTTCCAAAATATAATTTTGTTTTTTGTTTGTCATTTTAGGGTGAAGCAGCAATCCGTATTCCCTTTTGTTTTCTACTGTGCAAATTTAATCTACACACACATATAATATTTGTCAATATATAAATTGGTGCAGGACTGTTTTGTATTTTTTTGTGCTGGTAAAATATGACATGGACATATCATAGTGAGAATTCCACTTGAACAATACTACAGAGAACATGTCAATAGTGGGTTTTTCGTGCTCACCCCTCATTGGCAGGTTTCTTGCGCAAAATACTGGGTCGAGGAGACGTCACAAGTAAGGGGGTTCCAGCGTTGGCACTCTGATTGTGCGTCTGGGCCACAGTGGTGGCAGGCTGACTGTTGTTGAATGCATTGCTAATAGAGTTAGCCACTAGTGTGGAACCATCAGCCAGAACCACTGAAAAAACAACAACACAGAAACACACTCATCTTTACCATTTTTTGTAACTTCAATGCTTGAGTGCTTGGTATGAACACATGTGGAGAACTGAAGGTGGATCTTAAGATTCAGAGCTGATCTGAGGCGCCTCACCTGAAGCTTTAGACTCTGTTGGGGGCTGTTGTTGGTTGACTGGTGTATGCTGAATGCTCGGGGTGGTGATCTGGGCAGACGTATGAAGGCCCTGGGCTGGGATGGGTGTGGGTTGGATGCCCTGCGCTGCCATGGCAGCCGGTTGGATGTTCTTAGTGTTGATCTGAGTAATGCGGTCCACCGTCATCAGCTGCATGGAGTTCAGATGAACTGCAGACGCGACTCCTACACTGGCTTGAGTGGGCATGGCTGCACTGGGCGCCTGAGCAGTTACTGTGTCCACATGACAAACAACTGTTAATAATCTAAAGCCAACATTTATTAGAACCCACCAATGTCAATCAAGTTTGCAGTGGAAGGAATCATTTATCTAATTTGATGTAGCACCATGGTACCTGGATAAGGGCGTATGGACGAGACAGAGCTGGTGATGGGGGTGTATGTGTGGGTCAGCGGGTACGGTGCTGATGGGTAGGTGGGCAGGAAGTACTGAAACTGCACTGGAACAGATTGTCTGTGGAGAGCCATAAAACATCCCAGACATATGGTTATCCTATACCTAATGTGAAAATAGCCAGTTTGCTGCCAAAAACACATTTTAAATGTAAAGTAGTTGGAAAAAGAGCTTATGTTCTTTAACATATTGAATAGACAGGATTTAAACCTGTTGTCAGTGCGGTTCTCCATGGTGATGGGGTTGGGAGAAGAGCGGTGACCAGAAATAGGGATGAGGTTGCCCCTTTCTCCAGTGTACTCGGAATGGATACGTGGTGACGTGTGTGTGATGGGCTGCGGGACCACTTTAGCTAAAACAGACGGGGCAAAATCGACAGTTAATTCCATCAGTTAAAGCTTTTACTATTTTACAAGCAAAATCTTCCTGGAAAATATGCTTGTAAAAACAACAGCTCTGTTGCGACTATGTAAAGGTGCATTCCCAGTTTAGTTAGACTGTTAAATGAATACATGCACAAAGTTTCCTGCATTCAACTAAAGTCATTTTAGAGCAAGTCTGTTCAGTCTGTCATTACAGTCGTTATGCCTCCAGGCAGCTATTTCCTGCCATGCAAGTACAGCTCCTATCTGTTTGAATGCAGAAAGAATGAAATCTATGTAAATAACGATTTAATAATATATTTCAAACCAAGAAAAAAATGACAACAGTGATCAGACAAGTATGAAAACTGCGCAGTGTTTTCCCAGCACAAGTGTCTTAAGGACTGTTCCACAGCTGTATGTGCAATAATCGTTTATGTTTCATTAAACAAACATGAAAAACATTGTTTAAACTCTTTCCAATTACAAAATTGTTATTGTTAAAAAAATACAGTAATCTGAAAAAGGGACTTTGATATATATTTTATAGTTTATTTTTAAGTATAATGTCCAGTTTTCAGTGTCACATGATCCTTCTAATATGCTGATTCGGTGCCCAAGAAACCATCATAAATGTTGAAAACAGTTGTGCGGCGTAATACTTTTGTGGAAACCGTAATACAGGATTTTTCAGGACTTTAGGATGAACAGAAATTTTAAAAGAACAGTGTCTATTTGAAATAGGTTTTTTATAACAATGTATATTCCCTGCTGAGTAATAATCTTTTAATTCTGACGGCAAACTTTAGCACGGCGATTTATGTAATCAAGAGTAAACGAACAGCCAATTGGCTGTGCGATATTGCAATTTGTGTATGATTGGACTGTCTCTGCCTTACATAGTCTCTGATTTTACCTTTAGGAAATACTGTATTATTGATCACATTTCACCATTAAGATTTCATAGTTTAAATCAATCAAATAATAATCTGCTCAAACTGTTACTATAAAGTCTTAAAGATAAATGAGCTAATCATTTTGTATACTACATCATACTACACTGAATGTCACAAAGATTGACACATCTGACTAATAAGTACAAAATCTCATATCTCTGTTTTTACTGTATTTCTATTTTTACTGTACATTTCTGCCATAGTCACCACTAATAACCTACTCCTAAATATAATGTAGAAACTTAACATTTTCTGTAAAGCTGCTTTGCAATGATTTGTATTGTGAAAAGCGATATACAAATAAAGTTGAATTGAATTTTTGATTTGAAGATTTAAAGATTTGAATCTCTAGCATTACTTGATATATTTACAATATTAGACAAAACCTACAATACAATACCTATATACGTCTATGCTACTAGAAATAAAAACAATTCCAGAGCAGATGAGCTAAAGGTAACTTACCCACAGGGATGGTGGATGTGGTCACTGCTGTGGCATGAGAGGAGTGGGAGGCCACCGTCATAGTGACAATACTGCTACTGGATATTTGAGTGTGTGGGGTGAAGCCTTTAAAAATGTGTTAAAATGACACACCAGGTCTTTAGTACTGTAATACATACGTAAATATAATAGTCTATGCAATTGGCATGGAGGTCTCTGAATCACTGGTGTGTAGAGTAGATTTATCACCCACCTGTGGTAGTGGGTGCTGGTGCAGTATTGGTGGCCTGAATTGGAGCCACTGTTGCAGCAGCAACAGGTGTCACAGTGCTGAAAATGGGCTTCTACGACAGAGCAAAAGAGAGGTATAACTTCCTGCTTTTTTTTTTATACATTTCCAAAAGGATGAGGCAGAATGATTTCAACCTGTGCAACAGAGTGAGAAAGGGCTTTCTGAGCAGCAATGGCAGGGTGGGAGGGCAGGGTGATCCGTGTGGGCATATCCCGTGAGGGTGGGGGGCGCTGAATACTCAAGGTGGCTTGGGGTGGGTGGATCGTCATTGCCGAGCGACTGGAATCCAGAAAAACAAAACCAGACAGTTTAATATTTTCAACAATTCAACTACTACAAATATAGAGATGCACAGAAATTATTTTTTTTACTGAAACACCGAAACTGAAAGTTTATTTAATAACACTTACATAAAACTGAATTGTAAATATTTACATTGCACATAAGGCAGTTTCTGTATCAACTTTTTAATGATATAATGATTTTTCTACTCCAATTAATTTTTTGACTAATATAAACATCTAAACAGAGGTTGTGATAAACCATTCTATTCATTACATAATGTATGTTTGAATAAATGTCATGAAACCAAGTTAAGTAACAATATAATTTATATGTAATAATGTGCATAAAATGTTCCTCACTAAGGTCATTAATTTCAGCTGATAAATAAACAATAGACAATAAATGGCTTATGTAAACGTATGTTTACGTAACAAGTTTACAAGCTGATTTATTGATGTCTTTCCATGGTTGAAACACTGATTAAACGATTACATGATGATACAGTAAGTTGTTCTATAACCTTCAACAAATCTTATGTTTATTCATATTTATTTCTTGCTATAACTAGTACAGAGAAAGAGATGTTTAGTTCATGTGTGCTCTGCGCTGCCGCCTGATCTGAAGCAGATACAGTCTGTCTTGCCACATTAAACAGCATAAATTACATTTACTGTTTAAATTTCATAATAAAATTGGCAGAATTTGAAACACCAGACTTGAGATTATATGATGAAAACCTTATTCTGATTATAGGTGAGCTACAAATGTTTAGTGAAGTTTTGTTCATGTACCACCTGAAAATAGCAGACTAAAGGTTCATCAAAATGAAAACTGATTGAAACTGAGAAATCGATATTGGCAACCCAGCACTAGTTTCCACACAAGTGACATGTTTACCTGTTGTAACTTATCCACGAAACAGATACTGACACAGTCAAAACGCACAATCGAAGAAGTGCTAATTAACCGTTATAATTTCAGCCCTCCCAAAATGTTTCATTACGGTGCGTCTTACCCGTGTACCATGTCTCCAGAGTGGGCAGCCACTGTAGTGATAACCGGAGACTGAGGTCTGGTTGCAGTCACTGGAGCCACTACTATAGGCAGCACTGCCGTAGAGGTAGTGACTATAGGCCTAGACTGTAATACAAACAGATATGTATGAAATGCATCAGGATGAATCTGTGTTCAATAGAACTGACAACATGTGTTAGATGTATGAACCTGAATCGGTTGGTGGATAATGTGCTGGACTGTAGGCTGCCCCGTGGCGGAGCTCGGACAGGCTGCTGGTCTCAGCACTGTGGTTCCTTTGGAACTTGACATCACAGCCGCAGCAGCCGCTCCTGTGACAACAGAACAAAATCAGTCAGTGTGCCAACATTACAGTTGGTTGAAATGGAAACCTGGGTGAAATCTGTAACTTGCCTCTGGGTAAATGGGAGGTGAATGGATGCGGAGGGGCAGCAGTGGAGCCGATCTGCAGCGCAGGGGCTCCGCTGCGGATGATCTGCACGTTGGTCATTAGATGATGCAGGTTACCAGTGTGACCCTTATTGTGCCAAAAACAACAGCAATTAAAACCAAACCAAACGTCACAGCAAGACCTACTGATGAGGAAATATGACCCCATACCTGTGGGGCAAGAAGCTCATGGGGTGAATCCTTTCACATTATTTTTTTTTAGAATATATAAAATGCATATCTCATATATATTATTTTTAACTTTTTCTTTTCTTTTTTTTTTTTTTAAATGGGCATTATTGTAAAATACTAGAATAAATATTCTGTGTAAATGTAGTCATTTTTATTTAGTTGAATAATTATGAAGGAATAATAATGACATGACTCAGTAACTCCATCAATTATAATAATTCAAATTTAAAGGGGTGGTTCACTGTTTTTTTCTAGGCTTGATTGTGTTTATGGGGTGCAGTCTAACATGTAAAAAAATTGAAATCGCAATCAACCACCCCTTTAAAAAATAAAAACACCAGCAACAACATGCCACTCTGGGCCTTCTCCCACAGTGCATCTTTACCCAAAGGCTCCAATTTGGACTTTTCCATAATAAAAACAATAAATAAAATACAAAATAAAATAAAATAGCAAATACAATTTTACGATATAAATCAAAATGAATTAGTGTCCAACATAATATCCAACATAAAGTAAATTTATATATATAATAAATGAAATATCTTTAATAAATTGTATATATAATAAATTCAATATAATATCCAACATAAAGTAAATGTATGTATGTATGTATGTATGTATGACATGACCCTGGACCACAAAACCAGTCATAAGTATCACAGGTATATTTGTAGCAATAGCCAATAATACATTGTATGGGTCAAAATTATCGATTTTTCTTTTATGCCAAAAATCATTAGGATATTAAGTAAAGATCATGTTCTATGATGATATTTTGAGAATTTCCTACTGTAAATATATCAAAACTTAATTTTTGATTAGTAATATGCATTGCTAAGAACTTCATTTGGACAACTTTAAAGGTGATTTTCTCAATAAATTGACCCTTATGACTGGTTTTGTGGTCCAGGGTCACATGGCTACGTTCACACTGTCAGTTTTTGGTATTGACAACCACATTTTCTTTAAAGGTGTGAGTCTCGAAATGTCCCGTTCACACAGCAGCTTACAGTTGTGTTTGGAATATACGTGGGGAAAAAAAAGATTGGATAGGGAAAGCTCTGGCTTCCTGTGGACGTAGCCTAAAATGTGATCTAAAGATGACACACAGCTCATTTCTCCGTCAATGTAAGTTACCGAAAACACACATGAAAACACGTAACACACGGTAGACACGCGTTTGTGTGGCAGAGCGGCTTTCTCTCGCACTGTATGAGGTGACAGACAACTAGTTGTCCAGTCCTGTTCCGTTCACACAGCGCGTGTGTTCCAAGAATGCGGTTGTGAGTCCTTTTTGACACGACAAGAGTCCAATGGAGCCGCGAGTTCTTTCGTCAAATCTTCATTAACCGACAGCAGCTTTTATATTTGGGTGGAGAGCAGAGCATTTGAATCGCGTGCAGAACACAAAACTGACGGGAGCGGCTCCGGTGGAAAATTGACGAGATCAAAGGCCCCGTCCACACGGAGAAGCATTTAGCTGTATACGCATACATTTTGTATCATATAGGCGTTTCGTCCACACGGATCCGGCGTTTTGGGAGAGTGAAACTGATATTTTTTGAAACCGGGTCCCAGAGTGGATAAATCTGAAAACGCCGCCCTTGCGTTTTCGTGTGGACAGCGAATCCGTATATTTTCTTTGGATAGGGAAAGCTCTGGCTTCCTGTGGACGTAGCCTAAAATGTGATCTAAAGATGACACACAGCTCATTTCTCCGTCAATGTAAGTTACCGAAAACACACATGAAAACACGTAACACACGGTAGACACGCGTTTGTGTGGCAGAGCGGCTTTCTCTCGCACTGTATGAGGTGACAGACAACTAGTTGTCCAGTCCTGTTCCGTTCACACAGCGCGTGTGTTCCAAGAATGCGGTTGTGAGTCCTGAAAATTTACAGGTGTGAGTTCGGTTACAGAATGCAGTTGTCACACCCGGAAATAGCCGAACTGTGTGTGAACGTAACCGTATTAAGGACTCAAAAACAGGACTGACAACCGTATTCTGCTGTTGTGTGAACGTGGCCATATATAATTAGCAGCATGTTTATTTCTGAAATTAATTTGGAGATTCAATGTGAAAATATAGTAATGATTTCAATTTTTTATGTAATGTGAGATAAATCACTATTACAGAAAACTATGCACTTGATTAAAAAAAAGTCCTTATATGTAAGCCAAATAACTTAAAATTAAAATAAAAAGTATTACTAACCTGCTGACCACTGATGGTCGCCACAGGAATACCAGAGGCCTGTGAAGACTCCATGGCAGTGGTGATATGACCAGACACCTTAGGGGGGAGAGTGAGGTGGCCCGGTGTTGACAAAGGTGCTGGAGCTATTACACGGCTTGGCGTGGGCGTCTTCAGAGCAGACTGGAGTAAAGAGAAGATAAATGTAGGCAAACATGGACATCCCTTTTTACATTTGCTTACTTTTGACTTTTCAGGAAGACGACAAGAGGGATCAGCTTTATAAACTGAAGGTACTTGTAAATATGCCGGTGTACCTTCAGAGGACCCTCAGTGAAGGCTAGGGAAAGACCCTGAGGGAGGTGGGATGGTGGTGCTGACACAGAGACAGGCGTGCCTGGCTGGATGGGGAGGTGCTGAGGGAGAAGAGGGGGCAGAGACTGAGCTGTTCCGTGGGGCGAGGGTTGAGTCTGGGGTTGCGGGTAGGGTCGCACCACTACCGTCTCCTGCTTGTCATCTCTGAACGCTGTGGCTCCGCTGGACATCAGCTCACGTGGAGCATGATTAGAGTCTTCATATCCTCCTTAAAGAAACCACATTAAGTCAATTGATGGTGTAAATTCAAGACTGTTTGTTTATGAACATCTCCCAAGTTTGTTGTCATCCACATGCAAGGTTTTCAACCAGGTGTCTATTTCAAACTGCACCACCGTTCAAAAGTTTGGGTCTGTATGTTTTTTTTTATTAATACTTTTATTCAGCAAGGATGGATTAAAATGATCAAAAGTGACAGCTAAGACATTTATAATACTACAAAAGATTTCTATTTCAAATAAATGTTCTTTTGAACTTTCTATTCATCAAAGTATAGATTCCACAAAAATATGAAGCAGCACAACTGCTTTTGGCAATGATAATAATAATAAATGTTTCTTGAGCACCAAATCAGCATATTATAATAATTTCTAAAGCATCATGTGACAATGAAGACTGAAGTAATGGTTGCTGAAAATTCAGCTTTGCCATAGCATGAATAAATTACATTTTAAAATATAGACAACGCTTGTAATAAATTGTTATAATATTTCAATTTTGTAACTGTATTTTTAACCAAATAAATGCATAATGCAAGCCTTGGTGAACATAAGAGACTAATTTTAAAAAACATTTTTTTTTAAATCCTACTGACCCTAAACATTTGAATAACAGTGTCTATAACTAAACATTTACTAATAATCCATTAAGCATCCAGTAAAATTACAGAGGTGTTAGAGTACAATTCTAGTTCTTAAAGGGGTCATATGATGCGATTTCAATTTTTCCTTTCTCTTTGGAGTGTTACAAGCTCTTGGTGCATAAAGAAGATCTGTAAAGTTGCAAAGACTAAAGTCTCAAATTAGTCTGTAATAGTCAATGCATCTTAAACCTGTGTTCTTCTGACTTCCTGGAAGTCCTGTAGTCTTGCTGCCTGGTGTTTGTCCTTGTCCCAGGCCAGATGGGAGTCCTGGACGTGGATACTGCTGAGAACTCATCTTCACGACCTCTCACGTTCTTCCTGAAGAATCAGAGGATAAAAAGGATGCAGCGTTCAATGGAGAAAATATGTGTTTAATTCAAACAAAGGACTACATCACATTGTCTGCAGGTTATTACTAGATATCTGAAAAGCTCACATTAGAGACATGGTGTACTATACCTAATGCTGAACAAATCCAGTCAATATTTTGTGTTCAGGTGGTTCTCTTTCATGCATTTTAATGTTATAATCTCCAAAACAAGAACTATTAAGTTGAATAAACCACAAAACATCCCTAATGGAAGGTGTATTTCTCAAATATCAAGTAGCAATGCCCTTCTCGCAACAGTGTCATGTCAGTGAAATACGCTTACTAGAGTTAGACAACCTTCAATTTAACGACAAATGCGAAATCAACACCACCTGATAGCAAAGTAAGCGCATTTAATCTGGCTGCATTATTTCTGAACGCTGGTGAATGTTACATTGACGATTGTCAGGACACCAGAACGGGCAGCTTTTGTTCCTGGGTGGGCTCGTGGGGTTACTATTCATCTTGTAGATGTTAAAACACATATGTAGTCTAATTTAAAATACAAATCAGTTCATAACCATATAACCCGTCTTTTAAATAACAAAGAATGAGTTTTAGAAATCAAAACAGTCGCGGCTGTTAGTCGCCCAAAGATCTTACGAGTCATTTCAACGAGACATGATCATTTCTCTCAGATACACATTAACGGTAGTAATTCTGCAACTGTATGAATGTGAACGCGACGAAAACGTTACTCTAGCAGCACTGTTGTGTTTACAAATGAAAAATCGCAGATTTACCGTAAACACGACGTCTGCACTCTCCATCCGTTTCGTATCCCGGCAAATCGACCATTGGCATCAATGGGAATCTAGCCGCAGTAAGCCACTTCCGGTCTTGAATTTCAAAATAAAATCCGGATTCCACTTCATTGGAGTCAAGTGAGCGAACCTGATAGGGTTCTCATGTTCCTATCTACACATGACCTTCTTCTTCTTCTTATATCTTTCCGGCAGTGTAGACGCTACTGGGCGTATTACTGCCCTCCACAGGTCAAAGTTTGAACTAAATTCTTATATACACACACATGACCTTCATCGCATCACACTTCTTATAAAGACCCTAAACAATTTTACTGCACACTCCTCCAGTTTACGCCATAGGTTTAGATGTTATTGGTCTGTATAGGGATACATATAGGTCCTTCCAATTTCAAATTTGGTGCCTTTCAAATTTCAAGTACAAGTTATGAAACTTATATTGTTAAATATGAATCGATTGCAATTTGAAAATTGGCTGGACACTATCTAAGGGACACACTATCTATTGATTAAAAAGTAAAAATTCACATCTTTATAATACTTAAGTCTATTAGGCTATTATAAGTTCATAACAGGCTGGACAATGAGTCAGTCATGTTTAAAATTTTATAAATAATCAGCATGAGGTGTATTCATTTTGTAGGCATGACACAAAAAGATCATATAAAATGTCAATTTATAAACACATATATAATACACACTGATATAAACTAAACGGAGAATGAGCTTTAATGGTTCCACAATTTCAGCTTTCCATATATGATAGCCTATATAATGCACATTGTTACATATTTACATAAATACTGTAAATGATCCCATTCCCCTTGATATGGATATGCTACTTTTTATGGTAGAGAAGCAAACACAGTGAAAAGACCTACTAGGCGTTTCCACCATGCGCTTCAAGTGTTATGGTTTTGGTTTTATTATGAGCATCTATTGTATTTGCAACAGTCCTGAGGATAGCTGATAAATGTATAGGGTTGTGAATGTTGTATGCATATTCCTGGATGTGATTATTCACGTGTCAATCATGCACAAACACAGATCACTGCAACCTTCCCATGATGTAACATACATCTGCCACAAACGTTTCACTGAAAACATTGTTTACTTTATAACCATACATTACTGAGAATCAAAAAGGGTAACTGGCAATCGACAATGAAGAATAACATGTCAAGCAGGTATGCTTTTTAAAAAGCAATGTCATCAGACAATACGTATCTGACACAAATACATTTTCACTTGTATAATACTTCAGGTGAACAGAAGACTCTTTTTCCAATCTCACCATTGGAATACAGACAAAACGTCCCCCTTTCAATCTGTGTGCATATTCTCTCATGTGATTGAATAATCAATAATATGACTTCAATAGATGCATTTAAAAACATTGACAAAAATCTGTACATTTTTGCAAGTCAATATTATGTGTAAAAAAAGAAAGAAAATAATCATAAATATAGTTATCAGATAATTACAAAGCACTGAAGTGACCAGAAAAAGTGCACAGTTACTTAAATAAACTACGTAAGAACTTCAAATGCGTAACAAATTGACTTCATGTCGCTGACCATCAAGAAACATAGAATAATGCACAAGACCTTCTCAGATCACACATGCATAACGTGTTCTCTCCGGACAGGTATTAAACCGTGTTTAAAAGGGTTTTGAATGTCAATTTCAGGCATTTTAATGTTGACAGATCATTTTTGGTCATCCAAAGACCAATGAGAGACTCACAAACAATTACAATTAAAAACATGATATTTTAAAAAGGCACTACAAAGGCAGATAGTTTTTCCCCTTTAGCTGATCCGAGGGAGCACCTATCATCAAAGCTTGAGAGTATGTACTTTATCCAACACATGGGGCTACAAAGCTATGCAGACAAAACCAGTATGCCGATAAGGTTTGATCTAGTTGGGCTCTTTCCACGCCACCACGCTGTGCTGAGTGGTTTGGCGTCCGTGGAGCAGAAGAGTGAAGGGGTAGAGAGGGGACACAGTCTTTCAGTCATCGCCCCTGCATAAAAGCCCGAGCGAAGGATCCTTTCCACCAGTGTTATAGCTTTGGTGCAAAACCTGTCTGAAATGTACCTACTTGTAATAATACGTTATCTCATCTACGGTGCCTATGCGAGATCTTGTCCATTTTGGACAGTATTGTGCCAACAGTTTGATTCTTAGTGCAATGCGCAGTGCTGTTATTAGATAAACCCTGAATACCGCCCCTTTAAGCCCCTGGTCCTTTTGTTTGCTTATTTCTATTACAGTATACAGTTTTTTTTTGTTTTCTCATTTCGCTTTTGTTTGTTCCTGTGCATTTATATGTTGCTTTCGATACCTTTCCCTCTGCCCCCTGTCAGTTTGGAGGCCTCTCTTACACAAAATCACGGCCGAGCAGCTTCCTTGTGTCATGTGGATGTGGCTTCCAGGTAGCTCTGGAGTTTACGTACAGTTGACTCATCCAAGGAGAACAGGTCAAAGTCAAAGGTTGTATTGGTGATGTTGAAATGGCCAGTCTTTTCTATGAGGTTCACAATCTAAAAGACACAAATGCATATATGGCAACCAAAAAACAGCAAACATCACTCCTGAAAGGTGACAAAAGTGGCATGAACAACACATAAATCAGCTGTTCTACAATGAGACATTACCAGAAATTCTTATGTAAGGATGCATTAAATTGATCAAAAGTAGACATTTAAATTTTTTCAAAAAATGTCAATTTCAAATGATTGCTGTTATTTTAAACGTTCTATTCATCAGTGAATCATGAAAACCACAGTTTCCACAAATATATTATGATTTCTGAAGGATCATGTGATACTGAAGACCTGAGTAATAGTTTTTGCTTTTGCCATCAAAAGAATGAATTACACTTTAAAATATATTAAAATAGAAAACAGATATTTGCTAACACTTTACAATAAGGTGTCATTCGTTAACATTAGTTAATGTATTAATTAACATGAGCGAACAATGAACACTACATTTATTACACTCTTTATTAATCTTTGTTAATGTTAATAAAAATACAGCCGTTCATTGTTTGTTCATGTTAGTTCACAGTGCATTAACTAATGTTAACAAACAAAACTTGTCATTTTAATAACGCATTAGATTAGTAAATGCTGAAATGAACATTAACTAAAGCCCAAAACACACTGCACGATTTTAGCAATCCTATAAGATCACTGCATGTCACACTGTGCGACATGGATCTAATAAACTTGGCTACGATGTGTGTGTAGACTGTACGATGATGACACCTATTGTCTCGTACGATACGACGCACGTTTCTATAAAAGAATGCGCTAGTGGTAAATAAAAAGAGCATGATAAATCACACTTTAGCAGTAGTTTTTATGTGTGCTGAAAAAAAGTGGAAGCTGCGAAAGAGGAAGGGATAAGAGCTTGAGGTAAGCAGTTTTATGTTTTAGCACCATGTCGCGTTGATTTCAAATATTCCCCTAACTCGAGGATCACCTAAAATACACCCAAATGAAGAAAAAAATATTGTTACCTGCTGTAAAATGTTCCTCTCTCTCAAAGCCATCAGCCTGCGATGGAGGTCCACAAGCTCCTCTGTATAAGCCTGTAATCAGATCAATCATTTAAAAGCTTCATTGTAGTTTTATGTGCGATAAAAATCTGTATTTCAGCCACTGAGGAGAATGAATCAGTTATTTACCCTTCCTACCTTGTCGTATCCCCTCTTGAGCATTTTCTGGCGGGTGCAAGAATCTGGGCTCTTATTTCCTAACATCTGACAAAACGATTTTTAAAATCAAATTCAAATATACAGTCAAACCAAAAATTATTTAGACACCAGATATAGTTTTTGATACCTTTTTACTAGTTGGGTGCAGGACACTATAGTTCATTTATGTAAGTGAGGATAGCAAAATAAAGTAAACTGTGACATATTATACCCACAAATTCTTCATACAGTGGACAACTAGTAAAATTTATAAAAATTTGGGACACAAATTATTCAGACACTTTGACCTGACCAAGTGTTTTTCTTTAATTACTAATGTGACTCGTTTTACACCACAGACTGAACCAAATTAAGCATTGCTTGGTAACTGGTTGACCTAAAATGGTATTATCTAATTGTATGCTTAAATTTAAGTCAGCTGACAGCTATTCAACCTAATTCATTACACACCTTTCTATCAAAGTTATCTGACATTATCAAGCTGAATTTGTTCTGACACAGTTTAACTCTGAGTTCTTGCCATATTGTATTACCATTTTCTAAACTATAGCGAATAAACTGTGATAATGTGAGAAATGTTGAAGGTGTCTGAATAAATTTTAGTTTGACTGTAAACCAGACTCACTGTAAAAATGATTCTCCTAGGTTGTAAATAAAACAGATTATTAGAGCATATTTTACACAAAAATACTATTTCAGTCTTTAGATTTCATGTTCAGTTAGGTACGTTACTTGACATTTCTTTGTAATTATTTGTGAAATTTACTAGCAATTTCTGAGTGAAAATTGTTTCAAAGTAAATCCTGCACCAATTTATATTCAGTGCATAAACCAGTCCAAAGTTTCATTGCAATGCCATGCAAATCTTACCTTGAGGTTTGCTGAGCTGAGTTTGGGTAGAGGTGAGGGGGCTTCCTGGCTGGGAGGACGGGACTCCTCATTACCATCACTCTCACTGTCCATGCTTAAACTGAAAACAGAAAAACGAACTTGTGAAAAGAATATAAATTAAATACAGTGTGCACCATGACTATGGTAATATTAATGTGTGGACATTTGCTTTTGATTTTTTTTATGTCTTCTTTTTAATAAAATTGAACTGAAATTCAAACACGACTAAATTAGATCAAATACAAAGTCCTTGGCACAGACCGAGAGTCCTGGTTAGGTGGAGTCGCCTTCATGAGCGTCTCAACCTCAGAGCTGCTGTCATCATCAGAGCCTTCAGAGCGCATATCCTCTACCATAGAACGGAGCGGCCCTGGACACAATCATCACGTTCAACCAAACTCAATGAGGTGACACACTCCTGATCATACAATTCATGATTAAACTCCGTACCTTGG